AGACCATACTGTCATGAGTTATAAGATCATAATTTCGAGATTTTCATTCAATTGTAAATCATCGTGGATGATTTTATTGAATTACTGAATAGAAAACTTCAGCAATTAAAATTTCTTCTTCCCCCTGGCGATGCTGTGTAACTACATCTACATGTTGTTTACGCTTCTTTTGTATCAAAGCGGTGGAGATTGCGATCAAGTGTGGAAATTGAATAACAGCTTGGTGATCAGGTTGGTATCCTTCCTGATAATAGATTAAGAGTTTCATTTCCACCGGAAATTGTAAAGGAGATTTTACCCACATTTAAATGGGATCTATTGGGATAAATTTTTTTTTTTTATTAAAAAAAAATTGTGATCAAGTGTTTTTTTTTCTTCCATAAAAAAACCATGTTTTCTTTGTCATTAGTACACATCAGAAAATACACAAGGGCAATTCAATTATAACCTCAAGAGGGGCAAACATTGCAAAGCTTTTACCCCTATCACGTCCAAAAAGCAAATTTCTTTCCGTTTTGCTCACAGTTCATAAAACTATTCAAGTATCCAAGGAAAACTAAGTCCTCGGAAAAATTCAGCATAAAAAAACATAAATTAAAAAACAAATCAGAAATCTCAACCTAATCTTTTGCATTAATCAAAATTTCATATGAAACCAAAAAGAAGAAAAAGCATTAGGACAATAATTTACATAAGTACCCTTGCCCGGGGACCAAGGATTTTGGTCCGACCTAATTATCTGTCCTACTTTTCTGTAGTCGTCCGTCACTCCGTTGTAGAGAATACAGACACCACGTGCTCATTCCACAAGCACGTGACTGTTAGCTGAGCTACGTCATCTAATTCATTTCCAAGTTCCGCCGGAGAGGCTGCTGCCGCCGACACCGGAAGCGATTGAAATCCTCCGGCCCTTTTCCGTTGGGTAAGGAAAATTCTGGAACCATACTAAATTAGGAAAAGTCACAACAGCAAGTTCAAAATTCAAATAGTGCAGCCACAGAAGAGGAAGAAAAAGCAGAGCATGGAGACGAGAGCGACGGACTCGAAGGCGGTGACGAACGACCAAAGGACGGTGTCGATGATGGAGAAGTCCGGCACCCATGAGGCGGGGGACCACCGGCGGGGGGCTAGGGCGGAGAAATTGAAGCTGTGAAGGCCCATCCCCCAGCTAGGAGGCGGCGTGAAGTAGGAGGCAAACAGCCGTGGCCACCGGGTGAATGATGTCGGAAAGGATAAACCGGCGTCCACCCATCGAAAAGCTGACATCATGGAAGCCATTAAATGCAATTCCAACAGAAATGATTGTAGAAAAAAGAAAGATCTGGGGGTGTGGCGGGAGGAGCAGTGATTAATTTAATTCTGTAGCCAGTGAAGTAGAAAAGGCCAAAACAAAAGGGAAGTAAATTGGGAAAAGGAGATCTTTTTGGGAGTATTTATTTAGAAAGTGGGGATTTTTGAATATTTGCAGAGGATTGAGTATGAGATTCCTTTATTGGGGCGGGGTCCTACTAAATGTTAACTTTGGACCGTTGATCTTGGGGTTTTGGGGGCTCTAGGTTGATGATCGCCGTTCAGGGGCTCTAGCATTTTGCCCCAACAATTTTTCAATCTGCACACATCTTACCGGGGATGAATTGCAATTTATTCCGTCCTAAAAATAATTTACTCAGTCATTATATAAGTCGCAGTCGATGAATTATATGTATTACGTTTTTCAATGTAAAAATTCCAAATGAGATTTTGATAGTACTATATAACTTAAATGTGAAACTATTATTTCCTCCGTCCAGAAAGCCGAATAAAATTATTCCCACATGGAAAGAGTATGTTTGAAAATGATTTTGTTGAATTTTTTCTGTCTCTGACATTGTAGTTTTATCTGTTTCACTGTATGATGATGATGAGCTTACCACCACTGCCTTTACAAAAATCTTCAGTTGACTAAGGAAGAAGCGAGAAGAAAAGTCTCATTGGTTTCTAAAATTAAAAAATACATGTTTTTTTGGTTGTTATTAAAAAAGAAGAAGAAGAAGAATAAAAAAAAAACAGTAGTACTCCTGCTTGATTAGCGGTTATGGATTGACGACCAGTAGGTGGGTTGGTGTATTTTTTAAGTGAACAAAATTTCAGAGTTTAAATGTCGACAAAGGATGATAATTGAGGGTGCATCTGGCACACATCATTTTCAGGTCGATATTAAATGGAGGGATGGAGATATTTCGATTTGGATTGGAATCCGACTATACAACTGGAGAAAATCAGGTCTGTCTCCTGTCAATTAATTTGGAGATTGGGGCACAGCTCAATCACAATTACAAATCCTCCCTATTTCCCCTTGGAGTTCCTCGGAAGGAAAAGGTGAAAAGAATCCGTTAAAATGAAAATTATTGACCTTCAGTCAAGTACTAAATGACCATCAAAGTTTAAGTGCTTCATTTTGGATAATTTCCAAGGGAATCACTAATCACTAACATTTTTTCCCCCATTCTATCTCTTACATCACTTTTGGACCGTGTTAAACTTGTGGAAACATTACTTAAAACATTTATACGTGTTCTTCTTTTCCTTATGTTATTAAAATTATTAAAAACATTTACTCCCTCCGTCCCATAATTATTGTCCAGTTTAGAATTTTTATTTTTAGTTTAAATTGTACTAGAAGTGAAATCTGAAACTGGACAATAATTTTGAGACAGAGGGAGTAACCAATTTCCTAACGCACCGTTAAATAAATTTAATGAGTATGATAAGCAGTGTAACCACTACATTTCTGCAAAATCATCCGGGAGAAATAACTTGTAATCTAGATGATGATATTAGTAAGTGTATTCATTTATAGAGTATTTGTAAGTAAGGTGACATTTCAAATAGAAATTCTTTTATGCACATATATGGGTGCATTTTATTCCCCACAAGGAAAGTGTAAACTACTATGTTTCAGCATTAAACAAATGGATTTACATGTGACTAAATAGGACATTATGTGTTGTGTCATTAAGTTGTTGAGAGAGTCCACAGTCCACACGTTGTTTAACTTATTTGAAAAAGTTAATTTTGTGATAAATCTATATCTTCTATATACTATACTAAGGTAAAATTCAGAGAGAGAAATCTAAAGACATGGAGCATATGCCACATAAGATTTAATCCTATGTGGCATTTTCTTAATTTTTTAGATTTAAAAATGTCTAGGGTAAATTTACAATATCATTAAGAAAAAAAAAATAGATACCCACTACAAAGTAATTGTGGGATATTATTAAAAACAAAGTTGAGAGAGATCAAATTTAAATATTCAAATAACTTCAGTGATATTATTAATGTGGTAAAAAAAATGATCCTACCTTAGAATCAACGAAAAAAATGATTAGATGAATAATTTCATTTTCTCTATATTATGATTTATATTGTATTTGGTAGAAATTTTCATCCATTAGATCTCTATTTATAATTTCCATTTAAGTTTATTTGGCCGCCCGATTAACACCTTTAAATTAACAAATCATTTTATTTGTCACGTCCAGTTTTTAACCATGACCAATTATATATCGCCTTATCAATAGTCACTTCGAGACAAGGAATCAAGAACCTAATATGCGATGAATGTGGTAACGTCAATTTAAGACTATGAATTTCATTCACAGAGAAGTATTGCAGGACATATAATCATTCAATTCAAAGTTAATTATTTTTTCTTTTTTATATTCCTTTTTTTAGATTTTTTTAATAATTCTCTTTGCATTAAATAAATTATACCATTTTGTAAAGTGTTGTTGATGTTTGTCTTTTATATTTTTCAATGAAATAATTATATAATTTATAATTAACATTTTATAAAAGTACAAATTCATAGAAATAGTGAGATTTTTATTACTTTACTTGTGATGTAATGTCTATATCTACATGTTCTCCCCGTCCATCGGACGGGTCTTACACCTAATAGTTAATATTGTAATCTTTCTCCAATAGTTAGAGAGTGAATCAAATTGAAACAAAATGCTATTTATGTTTGGAGAATTAATCGGAGGCTATGAATGATTGAACCTATCAAAAGAAGACATGGATTGGAGTCAATCTAACGGGGGTTGCTGTCTGTTGCCCAACCTGCTTTTGCATCTTCCAAATTGATGATTTCCTTTTGTCATTCCTGCGTACCACACCGTGAAACACACACCGATTTCAAACCAAAATTTGTCAGTTTCATCATCTTAGCAAATTTGCATTCTGCCATTTCAATGAGTATTTCGAGGTCATTCCCCATTCGAGTAAGAAACTACATTAGATTGAATTATTGGTCATACAGAGACAACTTTTTGAGCTGGCGGGTGTAGTGTTTCGAATGTAAATTTGTTTTGGAAGTCTTATCAAAGCTAATCAACAAGCCTTTTCAGGTTAATCTTTGGCCTAATTGTCTTCGACATGTGTAAAGGAATCAGTAAGCAATTCTATTTCTGATTGATCATTATGTAAATCAGTGATCTTAATTGCGCCTGAAAAGGTATAGAGTTTTATCATTTATGACTTTATCTGTTGTGGTTAATCCACCTGTTTTCTCCAGGACCTCTTGAAATTTGGTGAACAGCCTAAATCCAAAAAAGAAGCTGGTGAAATTCAGCAGAGTACAGAACTCAGTTCTGCCTTTACAAAAGAACTTTGATTGTATCGACTCTTCCCATTCACGCACTAAAACTTCAATGACAACCGTAAGATGAACCATCTGTACACATCTAAACCTATCAGAGGGAAACAACTGCGGAGATAAACAATCTGCCTGTCTTAAAAACTAAATCTTACAGAGAACAATACACAGAGAGAAGAGGCTGGATGATGCGATGACATGGCAAGGCATGAAGGTCATCAATGAGTCAATGACAGGTAGTTCCATTCTTGGGGTACCGAGTCTTGCATCGAGATCAAAACTACCATCATTTCCGACTGTTAGACCTCATGGAATACCATCTGCGAAAAGCAAGAGCCAAATTGTTTTTCCCATATGCTATCTAATCTGAATGCGTCTTCGGCACTTTGCTAGACTTACTCAAGACTATGACACCGACAACAATAAGTGTGGCACCGGCAAACCACTGCAAGAGACATTTTGTGTGCAGAAAATTAAAGGGTCATTAGCACGTAATTTATTATCATAGCTGAGGTTTGGGGCAGAGCACCAGAGCCCAGTTTACAACATGAAACAGAAATGATGTTCGTACAAATACAAAAGGGTAACACATGAGCCTACAAAAGTAAGATCAATGATGGTAAACATAAAACGCCACCTCATCTATCCAAACACATGCAGAAGTTCAAAGAGCATAAAGTGCGGAAAATCTATCAGAAGCCATTTCACTTGCTCAAGCTAGTAAAAGGACTATTAACTACTCGTAGTACTATCAACTTTTCTCTCTAAATTAACCTGTTTATCTTTCCATTTGTTTCTACAAACAGTTTCTTCAGAAAATTGGAGGTCAACTATATTGGAACAGCTATATGCTCAGGTTGATAACATCTGGTTATAGAATGTAAACTCACATACGCAACATTTGTGCAATGAGGCTCGTTAACTAGATCAAAACATAAAGCATGAACGAGAGACCTCTCCTCCATAACCTATCACCCTAATCTGCTATCGTAGTTTCGGACAACAGAAAACTCCAGTGGCACGTAACACAAACTAAAGCATCGCCATTCAAGGGGGCCAATAAATTCAAGGGACTGTCCATTAATGTATTGACATTAACCACAAATACAAACACATGTCAATTGAATGAAAAGTACACAATGAAAGCTTGATCCAGCATTGCATTTGCACAAATCACAGATGTTATCCAAATCCACTAAAGTACCTGAAATTGCAAACCCTCTTCAAAGAGGAAATACCCAGCCAGTCCGGAAGAGATGAAGTTGGTAGCGAAATTTGTGACAGTAGCTTGTAATGATGACAGAGCTTTCAAGCTATTCACATAACATCCCCACATTACCGCATTCAGTATTATCACCAGCCCGTACTTAACTACCTATCAAAATCCCAGGAACAAGTTAATCAACTATTGCAGGGACATAAAACAAAGATGAAAGTCTCATCATTAGCAACACAGCCCCCCTCTTTCCATCAGCACCCATAGAGAGAGTAACCCATAATCCTCACAAACTCATTGGCCTCATTCATGATACCATTACCAGTGGAATAAATGTCTAAAATACTTTACCATATGAACGGTTGTTGAAATTGCCAATCTAATTGGATCAGCAGTGACTAGTGAGTGATAAAGTTCAAACCTTTAATGAATGAATGTATTACACTACTTTTCAATCTAAACCTCAACCCAAATAAGCCTTAAATCAGAATCAAAGAAGTTTAGAAAAGCAAAAAATTCGTAGGAAAATTTTACAAGAACATTGCATCAAAACCGTACATGGCTTATGCATCGATAATTTGATCAAAACATAAAATAAAATAAAGGGGAAACCTGGGATGAGAAGAATTTTGCGGCAATGGCAGCTAGAGCTGCGTTGAATCCAGCTAAAACTGCCCAGGCGTAGCCTTTCTTGTCGTAGTTGAAGGAATCCATTGAAGCCAAGCAAAAAGTTGCAGTATTCTGTAATTGTTGAAGTTGAAGACTTCTGGGGGAATATTTTACAATGGTATCCACTGGTGGGCTACTGAAAATAGTTCTGAAGTAAGGCCCAATCTTTAAGTTCTACTGATGTGCCCAATATATAAGCCCAATTATATAGCCTGTCTTCAAATTTTCTTCCACAAACGATCTCCTTCCTTCCCAGTTTCGGCAATGGCGGATTTGAACACCAGTCTGCAACAAGCAGAAAACGGCTATGGAGTTTTGTTATACTACAAGTACTTCAGCAGCTCCATCTCCGACCTTGAAGAACTCTACGATTTTTACAACTCCAACTGCACTACTCTCTCCCTCATCGGCCGGGTCCGGCTCTCTCCTAATGGCGTCAACGTTACGGTATGGGTTTTTCTGTAGTTCCTCAATTTCATTTGATCGTAATTAGCTGAATTAGTTTCTTAGGTTGCTCTGTTACTTAATGTGAAGATAACATCTTTGGATTTCATGGGCTGGTGAAAAAATGGGAGTTGTTTTTGTGATGAATGATGTGGATTGTTATTGAACTTCATGTGAAGATAACATCTTTGGATTTCATGGGCTGGTGAAAAAATGGGAGTTGTTTCTGTGATGAATGGTGTGGATTGTTATTGTTTTGGAGTTTAGTGGTGCTTATGTTTTTCTAAAATGTATAGGTGGGTGGGAAGATGTCAGCTTTGGAGGAGCATATTGAGGCTGTGAAGCTGAAGGGTAGTTTGTTTGATGGGACTGATTTCAAGCTTGCTTCTTGTTCTGAACCTTTGAATGATAAGGTTGCAAGCGAGTGCGGTTTCACATCTCTATCAATTCGAATTGTGAAGGTAGTATTGATGTTCAGGTCCTTCCATTATAATTTTGTTTATTCTGTTGAAGCAATGCTTGGTGCGTATTATCCCTCTAGTATGGATAGGAAGTAGCGGAATCTTACACAGAAAACGTTTTCGTTCTTTCTTGTGGAGGTGTTGTTTTTTCCTGTGCAACTAGATTTGCATTTAATACTTTGATTGGATATGGGATGGTGAATCTTTTATGTACCCATTCTGATTGTGCAGTCCCTTATCAGTTCCAGTTGAACTTTTACTGTCAAATATTTTAATCGTGTTAGTTCAGGAAAAGGGAAGAGCTGTGAGGGAGTTGGGGATGTTACTTAAATCTCTTAGCTTTGTTATTTAGCTCATTGGCAAAATTGACTTCTGTATCTGTTGTCGTTAGCTTATTATCTCTTTCTGAATTAAAAAAATTTACAAGTTTGCAGTCAGATAATTTATCTTACTGATGTCATCAGGAATTAGTGACATTGAGTTCACATCCTCTCTTGAGCACACCAGATGTTTCAAAGGCTGGAAGACATCTTTCCGCAGTTGAGTTTCATTCCATTCTTCAAGATGCCGGTACCTGCACATGGCTCATTCTTTATTTTTGAGTGTTATGGTTTCCTGCTCTTGTTCTTCTTGATATAGGTTTGATTTTAACCTAGATGACAATTGTTGTGGGTTTGTTCATGGCCATTTACTTATGATGCTTATACTTCGCAGGGAAAGTTCAAGAAGAAACGAATTCCACATCTAGCGAGAATGTAGTCCTCCTTGATGCAAGGAACTTATATGAAACAAGAATTGGCAAATTCCAGACGTCAGATGTGGAAACTTTGGATCCACAAATTAGACAGTATAGTGATCTTCCATCCTGGATAGATGACAATGTGGAGCAACTGCGAGGTAACCGAATTCTTATGTAAGTACCAGCTTGAATCTCTTGACCATAATCTGAACTTTACCGCCTAGGAATCTACTTTTAACGACAGTACAGTTAGTTTTAGGTTTATGCTTCTGAGTGATATGTTACATTTCATTCCTTAGTGCGTTCACTTCCTCCCATTGTACTGAACCTTATGCTTGCTCTTCTCTTCTTGAATTTATGGATGCATCCATTTTGATTTTGTTTCCCCACTTCTAACCTTTTGGCTGAGTGCTAGGAGATTTTAAGTTGGTACATCTGCTCATTATTTCTCTTGGATTATAGCTGGATGCTATTTACAGTGTCATGTGTATGAGACTTTGAGCATAGATTTGACCGCATAGTAATGTAAATAGTCACTTGCATGAGATTAAAGAGTGGCCCTTCGAAAATGTTGTTTGCGCAAGTTTGCGTTCTTTTATGTATAGCTTGTGAAGATGACTTTGATATATAACAGGTATTGCACTGGAGGAATAAGGTGTGAGATGGCTTCAGCATATATCAAGTCTAAAGGTGCAGGCTTTGAAAATGTATTTCAGGTGAGATAGTTGGTAGAATTGCCTCTTTTCCCACTTTTTTATTTGGGGTGAAACGGTTAACAGTTAATATGCCTGCAACTAATGTTATATTTACAACCAGTAAGTCATGGCTTAATCAAACTGCACTATTACATTATGAACTATAGACAATTGTGCAAAAGTTTCGTGTTCCACCCTTTGATATTCTCCAGTTAAGACATCCTTGAATTCTCCGCTGCACTTCTGTCTGTAAAACCTTCAATATACCTTCTACTGATCTGGACTTGCTGCAGAAGTTCTGATTCTTTTTTTTTTTTTAACTTACCCATGTTTTTTATATCTTTCTGCAATTATGATATATGAGATTCCAGTTTTTGAGTTTATATGTGAATTGCAGAATTTGAAAGAGTTCAGGCTGTCTGATTAGTTTTCCATATCCTTCTGTATGGTAGTATAGGATCTATTAATTTGATTTCAGAATTCAACTACCTTAATACCAGTTTAGAAGGCAAAGTCTAGGTCATTTATGGTGTTTACAAATGTCAAACTGATGCACAATACGGATAATGCATGTCATGCATATATGAACTCAGATAAAATTGCAATATCTAGTATCCGTCAGCTACTTTTCAGAAGACTTTCATGTGTTGAAGGGTTTTTTTCTTTAGCGGGAGGGGCTGGAATTTGCTTAGATGAGCAGCTTTATTGAGATGGTGCTCATGTCTTCTGTTAGCAAACATTCTACAGTTGTATGGTGGCATCCAGCGTTACTTGGAACAATTTCCTGATGGTGGCTTCTTCAAAGGAAAGAATTTTGTTTTTGACCACAGGTATGGTTCTTTCTACTACGTCCTTTTTAGCTTTCCTCTGAGGAATCATTGTCTGTGGATGAGGATCATTTTCCTTTTAACCTTTGCAAATGTTTTGCTAGAGAGGGGCCACCCTAAACCTAGACCTTCCATACTTTTCTCTTGTTTGGTCATTCTGAGTAGATAGGGAGAGATTTATGACTGTTCATGCCATGAAAGAGAACCTTTTATCCCCTCCCTAGGGGTTGAAGCAGTCGTTTGTTTATTGTGGGAAATTGTAAATGTCCTCTTTTTTGCCATCCAAAGCTTGCATTAAGACGAGTGCATGCACCACAAATTTGAATGCAAAGTTTATACCTTTTGAAGTCTGTTGGTGGTTGTTATGTGATGATTTACAACAACGTAAACCTTATGAAAAGTTTGTTTTAACAGTTTCACAAATTGTCATTGCAGAGTAGCAGTAGGGAGCTCAGATTCGAATATTCTGGGTGCCTGCCTTTTATGTGGCTCTTCATACGATGACTATTCTTCTCGCTGCCGCTGCAAGTTCTGCAGGATGCTTGTGTTAGTCTGTACGGCATGCCAGGTATACAACTCTGATTCTTCTTGTGATGACAGTGAATATGTGATTACAAAAATTTCTGATTATATATTACTGAATTTTTATTTTTATTTATTTTAAAAAAGAGAGAGTTCTGGTTGCTTGATTTCTTATCCTTTGTTTTGTTTCCGGCAGAAAAAGAATTCTTCATACACTTGTGAGCTCTGTCAGAGAAGTGGCAAGTCTGTTGAAACAATCACAGACATCGAAGATGATAGATCAGAATGTCAGGGACAGGCTGAAATGAGAAATCTTAGTTCTTCAACTCAAGTAAAAGATTCAATTCCTACTGGATTGTTAAATGGTAATTCCTTAATTTCTTGTGTAATTGTCATCGGTTGTGATCTGAAATGTGATAACTTCATCACATTCAACTAGCAATCACATGACTCAAGAGTAAAGTTGAAGGGATATTCATTAAATCTTCTAGAGCCACTTTCTCCTTATCTTCTAGTGGTTAGGAATTTGATTTCCTTGTTAAGCATATTTGACTTAATTCAAGAAATGGCATACAGGTTCATGCCCCGCGAGGAAGTTGAAAATTCTATGCTTGCATGGTTTTCGGCAGAATGCTTCTGGTTTCAAAGGAAGATCAGGATCACTGGCCAAGAAGCTGAAATCTTTGGCTGAACTTGTCTTTGTTGATGCACCTCATGAGTTGCCTTTTATTTATCAGACTTGTATCTCTAGAGAAACTAATGGTGATACACCGTCCTCTCATCCAAGTCCTCCAAAGCTATGCAATAAAAAGTTCGCATGGTTGGTTGGTCCTGAAGAGCACAAGAAGAAAGATGGTTGGACATCAGTGGACACTCCATTTGACTTGCTGCAGTACCGACAACAGACACAAGGTTTTGATGTTTCACTTGCTTATTTGAAGACTGTATTTTCCCAATCTGGGCCATTCGATGGAATCTTGGGGTTTTCTCAAGGAGCAGCGATGGCGGCATTAGTTTGTAGTCAATTAGGGAAGCTCAGGGGATCAATCGATATCAGATTTGTGATATTAAGCTCTGGATTTTCCATAAACATGGAGAATTTCGAGAAAGGCTCGATTAACTTTCCTTCACTTCATATATATGGCAACACCAAAGGCGGAGACAGACAGATCAACACGCAAGCCAGCAGAGAACTTGCTTCCCTGTTTGAAGGTGGTTGCGCTGAGATCATAGAGCACGACTCTGGCCACATAATTCCTACACAAATGCCTCATATTGAGAAATTCAAAAATTTTCTTCGGCGTTTTCTCTAATTCTAATTTCTTGAAACAATTTGATGGCTGAACTCTGATTCATGTAAACTTAATCATGTACCGTTGTATGTCTGCATTTTTGTACTAGACATTAGGAGAGAACTATGAGATGTGGAGCAATATGTCAGGTTCTTGTAGCTTGAACCTAATATTTGGATGATGTGAGAAAATGGCATTGGAAAATGCTTTCTTTCATTTTTGTTGTGAAGTTTGTGTTATAGGTTCTTTGTTTAAACTAGTCAATCTGCTAACTCCTATTCACCCAAAGATAGAAGTTGAGATTAATTTTTACCTTGTAAATGACTTCCAAGGAAATTTCTATAGCACTCATTACTGGCCAAACTCAATACTAAACACCTAATTTATGTTCTTGGCAAAAACCAAATTTGGAACAAACTGTTAACAGGGAAAACATCCATGCACTAAGAATTAAATTATGTTAACTGAGAGGGTCTTTAGAATAAATTTGGAAAACACAGGGACCTTAAACCTCAGGTGAATCTTATTTCGGAGAGGTTCAAAACCCCAGGATTTTCTGAGAAGCACATCATTCTGCAGTGCACGAATTCTCATATTTTTCCTGAAGAAACACAGCAGGTTTGTCGGACTGAGGAATCCCAGTTCGCGAATAATGAGGATTCTTCAGAGGAATCAGCTTCAGAGAATCTCTATCAACTTCTTCAACAAAGTTAGTCCCTTGATTTTGTTCTTCTCTGGTTTTATATGCTGTCAATACCTACAAAGATGCGACAGTCAAAATGCTCTAATTACACTCTTGGGATTGATGGTTTTGATTTTTTTGGTTTTTCTTTTGATAATTTGTTAAGGGATGGAACTTTACTCCGAAACTATTAGTCTGATGATCAATGGCTGAAAGTTTTACTGGCTGTCTCTAGTTGGGAGTATTTTGTTTCATTGTCATGTACTATAAATGCCTTATGAAGAGTGATTAGTGGCAAAGAGTAGCAAATTTGCTTCTTAACCAATGAGGGTACATAGTTTGCAAGTGTTTCACAGGACAGGTGTTTGTCTACTTCTATGTACTTTACCATTTTACTCTAGATAGATAATGTTCCAATTGTGCGATTTTCATCTTGCTTTTCCAAAGTTAAGTAGAAACCAAATTGGGAATGTAACCTCACGAATGTTATCAAATGATTCATATTTTGAATATCATACTTCTGCAAAATTAAGCCTTGATTGATATTGGCGAAGATGTGAAGTGTACGATTGTGTTGTTTAAATTGTTATCGAGCTTCGATGGTTCTACACAAAGCTTTTCTGATTTTATGTTCCATTTTGAAATTGTAGATCGGCAGAAGCAGAGTATATTCCACAAATAAGGTTCATGATGTGGGACAACCAACTGCTGCCACCCATCCTCATGTACTTCCATTATATTATGAGACCTTTTATTCCCTTTTCTAAATTTTAGGATGGTTATTTTCACCCTTGCACAGTCTCTAAAATTGATGGTTTCAACATTGCAGTTGTTAAGAGAGGGCGAGATTACACCCGGTATAACTGCGGATGAGTATTTATCAAGGAGGAAGAGGTTATTAGAGCTTTTACCTTCCAATAGTACAGCAATTATTTCAGCTGCCCCAGTGAAAATGATGACCAACGTTGTACCTTACACTTTCCGTCAAGATGCTGATTATCTATTCATCACTGGTTGTCAACAGCCTGGGGGTCTAGCCATATTAAGTCATGACCGTGGTCTAAGCATGTTCATGCCTGAAGCAAGTGCACATGTAATATCCGAAACTATTTGTAGATGTGTTGTGTTTTTCTTTTATCTTTTACAGTTCTTAAATCCTTTTTACAATTCTTGATGGCTCTATGTTTAGTGGTTCTTCCCTTTTGTATTGGTGTTTCAAATGACTATGCATGGTCTTATTTCTTATTTGTGAAAGTTTTTAGCATGCAAAGTGGTAGTTTTTTACTGGATTAATCAGTTCTTATAATATTTTAGGACGTTCTTTGGCAAGGTGCAACCGCTGGAGTCAATGAAGCATTAAATACATTCAAAGCTGATGAAGCATATCCCGTCAGCATGGTCAAAAAGGTTAACGACTGCTTTCTTTGTTAAATTATTGCATATGCAAGCTCAATTGGTGCTAACTCAAATAGTTCACCAGTTGGTACCTTTACGTTTCCAAATGGCGAGCCTTTAATTAGTTGTATGCCAGATTTTGTTTATGAATTTGATACCAGCCGGGTACTTCTTGTACTGTAAACTTACACTTCTTTTCTCCTCTTCTGCAATTCTATTTTTTTTATGTATGCATTTTCGTGCTTCCTGCAGATTCTTCCAGGGATCATAAAAAGCTCTTCTCAATTGTTTCACAATGTAAATACTGCCTCATCAATTTATACCGATTTAGAAGCTTTTCAAACAGCTGTCCGTACCAAAAAAGTGAAAGATTCTTCTTGCATTACTCATGAAGCACGATGGATAAAGTCTGAAGCAGAGCTTACACTAATGAGAAATTCTGCTGCAATAGCTTCCCAGGTTATCAGTTGTACTGAAAAACTCTTTCCCTCTTTATGTAAACATCAAATGTTGGTTTTTACCTGTTTACTGCTATATGTGATCACATACTTACATAATATAATCTTTCATTAGGCCCTCTTGAAGACAATGTTACATTCAAAATCCTTCCCTCATGAGGGTATGCTTTCAGCTAAGGTTGAATATGAATGCAAGATCAGAGGTGCTCAAAGAATGGCGTAAGTTTTCTCATACTTCACCAAAATTTGTGTCATCTTTATTAGAGATATATGCTAGTTGCTCTTGTTGTTCTTTTCCCCAACTGTGTGTAATGGCTAGATGAAAAGCTTGATCTTGTCACACTTTGAATCAGTTTGACTTTGTTTCATGTTGTGCTGTAATCTTTGTTTATTGCTCGGTAATTTGAAACTTTTCCCAAGTGACGCACATTTCTTGTCTTCCTATTCCAATAGGTTTAACCCTGTGGTTGGTGGTGGACCTAATGGAAGTGTGATTCATTATTCTAGGAATGATCAAAAAGTAAGTAGTCTGCTTGAACTATCATATTATCATAGGCACGAGAACAGACACCTGCCTCTGTAGTCTTGTCGCTGATATTACTATAATACAGTTTCGCATTTCTATGACTTTCATTTGCCATTGCAGATTGATGATAATGACCTAGTTCTTATGGACGTGGGATGTGAGTTCCATGGATATCTTAGTGATCTTACTCGTACGTGGCCACCCAGCGGCAAGTTTTCAACAGTTCATGTATGTGTTCATATTTATGTTGTGTAACCTTATCAACATTAACTTGCTCTAGTTATTCGTTGAGTTTAACCTCTTTGAAAAGTTATTGATAGGTTCAAGTTTGAAATAAATTGAAGGCTTGAATGTTTTATATGATAAAATAAATTGATGAAAGTATGGCAATGTGTGTACACCTGTTATAATTTTTTTTCTATTGCACCATTTTAGATTTTTAAATCTCTATCAACGTTGAGCTACGTATATTTCATCCACATTTAATCTCCATTAGGCTGAAAGTGATTTGTAGGGCCATGAGGTCTATCTTGAAAATAATTGTACAAGAATAAATTTATTAACAATGCGTTCTCATTTGGTAAGCTGGATTTGCATTTTTCGTATTTTTCCAGGAAGAATTATATGAACTGATTCTAGAGACAAACAAAGAGAGCATTAAGCTTTGCAGACCTGGTGTGAGCATCCGGGAGATACATAATTATTCGGTAATATTTTGAATACTCACAACAGTTGTTTATGGTTTCTAGTACTCGATGGAGTCTAATATCACATGCAACGGTATTCATTTTCTCAACCAATCTGCTGCTGAGGACAATGATTGTGAAGTTTCTTTGTTCATACGAAACTGTCCTGTAACCCTCTAAATGTGATATTAGTGTCAATCACTTCTCATCATGTGAATTTTATTATTGAGCCAAAAAGCAGAAATTTCTGTAATTTTTCCAGTTTTAAGAATGTACATAGAGGGTAACCTTAAGGCTTAACTAAATTTCTTAATTTTCTCTATTTTGACATTTTTATAATATCTTGTGTCATGGAAATGAGTTGTTACATGTTTTACGATACCAGGCTGATAAGATGCGAAAAGGATTCAAAGAGTTTGGGCTTTTGAAGGATGACAAGTTTCAGAATTATCATTTGTTGAACCCTACAAACATAGGTTACTTTTGGCCTCCATGCCATTCTCGATGTGATGTGTGACATATGCATATATTGCACATTTTCACCTCCTACTGTACCATAGACATCCTTTGATATTACATCAGTAATGTAATCTATCTAATTAGCTCCTTATATGTTATGTCTAGGTCACTATCTAGGAATGGACGTTCATGATTGTTGTACAATCAGTTGTAACCGTCCTCTGGAGCCAGGTGTTGTAAGTGTCCTTCTTTTCTTTTTTTTTTTGGTTGACATGGCTATTGTACCTTTTCATTATAGCATATTTCAGGCATTCCTTTTGCTTTTGATTGTTTAATTCAAGGAACTGTCATTATTGTTCTGTTTCCTTTTGCCCAGTAAAAGTACTTTGATGATCCATGTAACACATATACTTAAAAAAATTTTATTGACAGGTGATCACTATTGAACCTGGAGTCTACATCCCCGCTAATCCTGGTTATCCAGAGAGGTACTAGTTCTTCTTTTGGGCATCAAATTATATTTATAACTTGAGATTGTAGGGGAAAGAAATACACAAGATTAAACGAGCTAGTTTTGTTTTTCTGGTCTAAATCAGGGAGTAACATTCTTCCTAGGGTTCTAGTCACGAATGCCTTCATTAACTATTGCGTAGGTAGGTGTGCAAGCTTGATTTTAGATGAGTTTGTGATGTGTACAATGGGAATCTTGTAATCAGAATTCGGATTGTAATCTATAGTAGTATAGAGAAGAAAACATAGAAAAGGGCTGCTAGTTCTCCTGCATTATTGCAGAAAACTACCATGAGCTTTAATGATTAAAAACTGTTCGTTGACTCATCAGGTTGTGCAGTTGACTGTGAGATTTTCAGATCATAGAGAAAATAGTTATGAAAAGTTTTCTTGATTGATTATTTGTTTTCTGCTTTTGCACTCGTTTAGTGTTGTAGCTTCCTTGTGTAAACATGTTTCTCTTTACTTAGAATAAGGGCTTTCTCCTGTTAATCTCTGTCAGACGATCTTAAAAGGACCACAATGGAAGAAAGATCATTGCCCTGTCAGCGAACATTCTAAGCAATTAACATAAGCTGTTTTGCTGGATTTCACTGGGTGGAGCAATGGTTTTAACATAAGCTCTTTCGCTGAGTTTCAGTGTGTGAAACAATGTTTTTAAATTCAGGCATTCATAATGTAGGTATCAAGGCATTGGAATCAGAATTGAAGATGAAGTACTTATTTCAGAATCTGGTTGCGAAGTAAGTGTTTCAGCTATTATTGGAGTCTTTCCAGTTTTTGTATTTGGTCTCCACCATTGTAAAGTTCTGATAAAATATAGCCTGCAAATAGTGGGGAAAACAGCACCCAGTTGGTTTGTGCTGTAGGAAATCTGAATTCAGGTCATTACATGTTCAATGTATGCATTTAGGGTTTTAAACCTCATGTTTTGGCTTGTAATAGGTTCTTACCGGATCACTGCCAAAAGACGTAAAGCAAATTGAGTCGTTGCTGAACAATTTCAGCCACGCGTTTGAAGGGGAGACGTCTAGTATGGCAGGGGCTGGTTCTTATTGATGGCAAGACTTTCAATGCGGTGAAAAGCCTTGTTTTGGTTGATGAAACTTTGACTACGATGGATCAAAAATGGGAATTGAAAACACAATGAAGTACAAAACTGGTAAGTCCTAGTCGGAATTAAGGGTACTGTTCAAGGGAAACCAAACTCTGTGGGGTCTGGCAGCTCTAGTGCAGAACAATATTAACCGGAGACTGTGGGACACTATTCAGATGAGGGGCTTCATAAATTGGAAATGACAGCAGCTAATGTTGTTATTCGGTAAGAATGGATAGTATGGTTGTACACATATTCCAATGTAACGTGTTATGTGGATCCACCAGAACTTAAAAGGAAGAGAAGGTAGGGGTTTTGTCCATCAATTTCAGAAAATAAATGTAATGTTCCTTTATAAAGATATATGTCCATTCTTTGTTGATACATCACCAATATGCATTGATAGAGGACACTAGCAAAAGTTGAGTAACCTATAATATGCATTGGTAGAGGAGATTCAGATGTATTATTGAGGTATAATGAAAGGTAATTATTCCTTTTTCATCTTTTAACTCTTTCCCTTCCCAGAATATTGTTGCGACTATTATTTTGGGACATAAAAAGTATTAATCTTGTGAGACGGTTGCTGCAAGGATACTACTATTATTTTTTAGTACTATTATTATTTATTATTATTCATGAATTATATAGGAAAACAGGATGGAAGAAGATAATAATTGGGGGTGTGTTTGGGTTGTTGGGGCAATCAGCATTGATGTTTTTGGATGGATCAAGAAAATGAAAACCAAGGCATTTCTTTTTCTTCTTTATGGAAGAACCCATATCGTACTAGAGATGTATGCTGACTGCTGATCGAACTCCAACTCGAAAAAGATGCATCATTTCCTTTTCCGCCACATGATTTTTCTTTTCGAAGAAAGTCATGATTTGATTGATATTATTAAGAGTTAATTACATAAAAAGTAAGGTGATCATAAGCCGAGTTATGATGCACCTTGTTAATCCATTGCTATGCCAATAGACGTACATGTGTACGTACAATTCTCAAAACACAAAATAACATTACATTACGGAAAAGACGACTCCCTGTAATATAAAAAAAAATGAAATTACTTTTCGTTATAGAAATAAAACTTTAATTTGCTGAATTATTGTTAAATAATATAACAACCATGATAATTTTTTTAGATAACATTAATGAACAGGGGGTAAATATTCGTGGTAGGAAGCACTACAAATATTTACAAACTGCCAGGGAAAAAAAAAAACAGAGAAGATAAATGGTCTGTCACACATATATGAATGTACATAGGTATGGTTGCGGTAGGTGATTTGTCACCTTAATTAAGGTGCTTGGGGCTGGAAAATGCTAACAAGTGAGTCAGTGACCACCTACCATAGGCATCTGCCTCAATAAATACCCAAAAAAAAAACTCACAAACAGATTTGCCCCCCGGGAAAAAAAAAAAACAAAGAAAAAGAAGTAAAATTCAGACTAAGAATTCTTACGATCCACATTGCAGTAAAGGAGGCAAGTTAATCGATTACTTTCGGATATGAAGTAGCTATGTATAAATATAATACTCTCTATGTCTCAAAATTATTGTCCAGTTTGAGATTTCACTTTTAATTCAATTTGTATTAAAAATGAAAACTCAAACTGAATAATAATTTTGGGACGGAGGAAGTACTTTGTCCCGTCTGATATTATTAATAACCAACTTTGTTATAGGACTACTTAAGTTCCACAAATCGAATTACTAATTAATGTGAGGCTGGTGTTGATTAGGCCATAAGAATTTTGGTTTTGCATTAAAGAAAAAAAGTTCACTCTGAGATGCTCAGTTTAGTTTTTGGCAGCGATTGTAGATATCGTATTTTGGTTGCAGTCTTGGAGACATTGATAAGTTCAATTTCCTGAATGTACCATTTAATGAGCAATTTTATCTGTCACAATAAATAAATTAAAAAAAATAATTGAAAATATTAGCAATGGTCGTATCAGTTGGTTGGTTCAAGCATTTATACTTCTTCATTTCGATACTTTCTGTCGTTATTGATAGTTGAGGCTACCAACTGATGGCAAATAATATTAAGATTCTAAATACACCTTGCAAGGTGTACTTAGGCAGTGCGTGAATCACACATGGGGGAAGAGAAATTGGAATAATTGAGTCCGAAAAAAAGGAGTCCACACGTGCATTTATTATGCAAATCATCAGTTTAATTACGTGATCAAATGTTATCCATTTTTTTCCTCCAAATTTTAATTACGTGAATTAATTCCTCCAAATTTTATTCTTAGCACATGTTTAATTTCAAATGTTATCTTTTTTAATGCTTATCATGTTAGCTTTTATATTATTTTATTTTATGAGATTATTTTTTAAAAACTAGGATTCTTCTTGTCGCGCGTTGCGGAAGGTAATGCATAATGTATGGTTATTGATGAACAGGGTGTTCATTATTGTTTTTGACCGATGGTGTATTATGTTATTACGTTTTACGATAAATATCTTATGTTAACTAATGAATAACGAGTTGTTATTGATGAATAACAGAAGTTTTGCTAATTGGACGATGTTTCAACTATGAGGAAGAGGTTTTTGTTCCTTATAATTCTTACACAAAGCTCATTGGTTTTTTCAATAAACAAGTTCAAAGATTGGAAAATGTCCAAATCTGGTGTTGTATATTGGAAAAAATTTGCATGTAGCAAACAAAGAGTAAAAAATTCAAGAGGTAGGTGCGATACAACAATGAATAATTATACCAAACTGATGAATAACCTCTATATCAATATCTACACTTATTGTGGTTTGATTTTTGCAGATTCAGATATCTTGCTTCTTTTGGCTTCTGAATATTGTTCTTCGCTCATGCTTCTTTCAGATTGTGTCTGATATTCATCGCTCATGCTACAATATATTTACAAATTCCATGAATAACTTGTTAGATGTGATGAATCCGGTAATTTCAACAATGAATAATTATACCAAACTAATGAATAATACATCTAGTAATTTACCAAAAAAAAAATACTACATAGTGATGGTAAACGATAAATCTGGCAATTTCAACAATGAATAATTATACCAAACTGATGAATAATGCAAGGATCTAATAATTTACCAAAAAAATAATACTACATAATTATGGTAAACGATGAATCTGACAATTTCAACAATGAATAATTATACCAAAACTGATGAATAATACAAAGATCTACTGCTTTACCAAAAAAACAAAAAAACAATACTACATAGTTATAGTAAACAATGAACCTTACAATTTTAACAATGAATAATTATACCAATCTGATGAATAATACACAAATCTACCAATTTACTAGAAAAATAACATCCAATAGAAGAACAAAACTCTAAAATTGATAAATTTGATAATTTCAATAGTTATGAAAACGATGAATCTGATAATTTCAACAATGACTAATTATACCGAATTGATGAATAATTCTCAGATCTTCTAATTTACCAAAAAAAAAAGGCAAATCGAAGAACATATCTCTAAAATTGATGAACAAACATCGTTAATTGAGTGAATATACCTTAGATCTACATAACCCAAACAAAAAAACCACACCAATGATTGAAGAGAGTAGTTGTATTACCTCGCTTCCCCTTCATCCTCCGATTTGCTCATACTCGGTTCGGAATCCTCAGTCATAGGCATCTACATGAATATTTTAAGAAAAAACAACATTCATCAAACCAGAATCAAACAACAACGGATAAACACAGAAAAATCGATGAATTTGACCAGAATACACCTTAATCCTCATCTTCAGTATTGTAACTTGTAATCAGAATTACCGTTTTTTATGAACGATTCGATTCAGACTTCGGAAGTCCCGCCGACGGTAGCTTCTCTGAATGTATGGTCGCAGGATTGATTTTTTGGGGTTTCGGTTTTTCTTTTAATTTTTTATTTGGGGAGTAATGGAATAGATCGAATGGAATGTTGGATCATCAATAATGACTGAAAATTAGGAGATAATGGTGGTTATCAAGATTTGAAAATCAAAAAATCGCACATAATGGGGATATTAATGGGCGCGTGTAAACACTCGGATGACATTGTTGTAAATATTGGGAGTTCTCTTTTTTTTGGTCGCGTGAGTTTCACTCTAGGTACACCTTGCTAGGTGTACCTAGGATCCCTATATTATAATTGACCAACTGACAATGATCGTCACTATACGTAACCGTCAACACCTCTTTAAAATAATTAACTTTATTATATTTTTGTTCATTTTACCAATCAATAGAATATGTAAACAACCAAAATAAAAAATTAATAATAAAATTGAATAACAAGTGTAAATATCGTTAGTACCAAATTAGATAATACACTTTCCTTATCTTACCTCAAACACGACATAACCGATTTATAACTTTTGAACTTCAAAATGTTGTGGAAAAATTATTGGGTACAACTTTTGTATCCTGATTTTTAGTGCAGCAAGTACTGGCACTTCCCTATTTTGGTGATATATAATTCCCGTAGAAATTATTTCTCTCTCCCCAAAATTACTATTTTACCCCTATTATTGTGTCTAGCTGCACAATCCTAGGTGGTATATCAGCTGCACTGAATAATTTCTTCAAAATTTGTGGTGTATATTCTTATCCTTCAACCTAGCTAAGTCATCTTAAACTTTTTTTTTTCCTAGTGATATATAGTTAATAATGAATTCACTCTCAATGCTTAGCCACAACGTGATTTTGTTTGACATAATATACAGGTGATCCAGTATACAGCTAAGAATGTGGGATGTATATATGAATGAAAATTCATCTAGAATTGACTTTCTAACGTACATGTGTATGAACACATACCTCTACTAATCACGAGCCATATTATATTTCGATCCAATTCACATTATTCTTCCAAGGAAAAGAACTTGAACTGTTGTTGGGTATATATAGTTGTAGTATCACAGTGAAGATACGCCATTAATTAGCCGGCAATGCATTCACATGGCTAGGGCTTGGTTGGTTGTAAATAATTTGAGCATGACACAAGGTGACACCAATTACACCATATAAGATGAATGTGTTTTAATGCGTTTCTTGTTACATATTTCTCTTCTAATTAAGGTTGAATTTGAAGCTTGTCGTCATTAACAAACATATATATGAAGATTTTTTTTCCCTTTTTATTTGCGTGCCTAATAAATTCATCATGAGTAACTTAAATGTTACTCCTTCTGTTCTAAATAAAAAAAAAAATCTGGATAAACCCATCGATAAAATAGAGGGTCCGAAATAATTACTTTATTTGTCCGTAAAAATAGTCTATTTTATTATAATATTTTAGTTCAATAATAAACTTATTAATTATTTTTCAAGGACGATAGATTACTTAAACAGTGAAAGAAAAGATGAGGGTTTTCTTTACCATTTTTCAAGGAGACAAGAATTACATTATCACGGTGGAAGGCTGGAAGCTACCTTAGTGATGATATATAGGCAGCCTCTACCAGTTGGGGAGGTGCGGTGCCCTCCTCATTTATGACATGAACCAATCCCCCCATCCCCATCTTCATTCATTTTTCTAACCATATCAGCAGTACTATTCTCATTTCTCACATTCACACTCAATTTCCCTTCTTGTCTCTAAAGTTGGTACTGTTTCTATCTTCATGAATGGTGATGGCCTTCTTTTATGATGATGACTTTTGATACTTCGATTTTTACTGTTGTGAATGTGTTCATGAACCTTTTTTCTTAAAAAAAATAAAAATAAAAAATCTTACTACGTCAAAATTCACAAAATTGAAATGTTATTATAGCATGTTGTGATCCCGTTCGACTGACAACAAATTATGTAGTGTCATAGCAATGATATATCCAGTGATTAAATATTGTGAAAATATATAATAACAAATGAAAAGACAAATATATCATCCACTTGCTAAACATGTCTGTATTAATCAAGGGTAAATATATAATTTCGAAAAAAAATAAAACTTCAACGGAAAAGTAACAAAAAACTAAGGGTCATGATTATTTCACATCAGTCATTATATTTTGTCACTATTTTCATTCACTAAGAGTATCATTTTCCTTTATTTTATTGGAACAATGGAGGCGAAAGTCTAAAAAATCAAACAATTACATTTTATGAATGAGAATATATTCTAACCACATAACTAAGATCAAGTATAACAAGAGAAAATCTAACCCTTCTCGTTTGGATACAATATATAATGTTATACTCCTTCTGTCCTAATTCATTAAACTTGTATCAATTTTCACACAGATTAATAAAACTAGCTTAACTAACCGTTTTTAACTTTATTTTCTTAAAATACTCTTATAAAGCATTAATGATGGGTAGGTGATTAATTAAATTAAGGATACATTTAGAATTTCATTAAAAAAACACATCTTAAAAAGAAAATTAACCTATTTAATGAGACACCCTTAAATAGTAAGGTATCCTATTGAATTGGGACGGAGGGAGTATTTAGTCTAGAACATGTCACTAGCTAATTAATTACGAGAACATTAAAACATAAAGGAATATATATATATATATATATATAGGCTGGATTTGAAAAATCACAAAGAAGTTTATCAAGAGGGAATACATAGTTTATTCGATCAATCACTTGTTAATTTTAAATAGTAAATTGATAAGCTATATTTTAACTCTTTAACTGGAACATAATTTGGAGACTCGAGAAGCACCAATACCGGGACGGTTCACATTAATTAATTGACCATGCGTATTTCCTTCAAAAAAAAAAAAAAAAAAATTGACCACGCCTATGCACGTCATTTGACCAAAAAAATTTCTTACTACTCCGTTCTAAAGAAAATATCGTTTTAGTAAAATGAAAAATTTTCAAAATAAGTATCGTTCTGACATTTTAATTTGTCCAAAATTCCCAAAATTACTCTTAGAATAATTAATATTATTAGTGGATATTTTTTTGATGGGGTTAGTTGAGGATATTCAAGTAATTTTATTATCCTATTTAAGAGTTTCTTAAACAATGTGCAAGGTGTAAAATGATACTTATTTTATAATGAAGGAAGTATTATATTTTTACTTTGGGAATACTGAAACAGCAAATTTAATACCATTTGTAGATACAAAACCTGTCATGTATATTTTTTTTATTCTGTTTTCCTGCTCTCTATGCAAAAATTTCTTACAGTCAATCTGCAACTTTAAGAATAATTATTCCAAACAGCTTAGACATCGTGCTACGAAAAAAGTTCTGCACCCTCCATTTTGAAATATAAATTGCTTTAGACTTTGCACGTAAACTAAAAAGACAATCATCTAATAATTAATTTATGTATTAAATATTTGTTTTACTCCTCATTAATTACATTAAAACTATTTAATATCATTCATTGAAGATAAAGTTAGAAAAATAATCATTAAATTACCTAAAATTTGTAAAACGACCTACATTTTGAAAAATTTATCCAAACTAAAACGACCTCCAAATTGGAAATGGAGGGAGTACTACTAATTTCTTACGAATGGTGACCAACAGAACCGGAGTGAATGGATTTACGTGAAAGTGACTTACAACACCAAAAACATTAATAAATCGTTGTCCTGATATCCGTGATATAATTTTCCGGAACTTTACCAAAGATAAATAAGTCTAAAATACATTCTAATCGTGTATTATAAGTCATATAAGTTGGTTGGATACTTACAAATGTGATTTCTTTTAGATTGAAAAAAAAACTATCTTTTAGGTAAAAGAAACAAAGAAGGAAAGTAAGAAAAATGAAAAAGGCCATCAAGGGTCCTAACCGAATATTCAAATTGCAGAATTACCTTTTTTTGAATGAATTGATTTATTAATTGTTAGCTAGTTGGTTGAGTAATGAAGATGCAAATACAGATGCAAATATGCAATCCACTTGGTATCATTCTATATGGCCATTTATTTATTCATTTATTGGTCCCTCACCAAATTGATAACCAAAATCAAAGGACAAATCTTCAAATCTCAACATGATTGGCTAATCCAAATTTAATTGAGTTGGGTTAACCAGTAACCCTTCCAACTGCACATTAACATGCATGCTTTTATATAGAGACTTTTATGACAACCCCTTATTGCTTCCTTCCCAACTACCTTTCTTTTTCTTTTTTATGTTTCCTTTCACGTTTTGGCCATTGATTATTTGCAAATGAAGATTTTGTAATTAGCCGAGTATAGAAATGGGTGTAATAAATCATTCTAAATGCGTCTCTTCAACAAATTGCATTTCTGTGCTAACTGCACCATCTGTCAATTTATTTCCAAAACTGATGAATAACGTTATGAAAAAATATTGTAACGAATAAAGGGAAACTAAAAGGGTGTAGCTAGTTCATGTAAAATACTAATCGTGCGTGGAATTGCCCATCTAACTCTAGTGATGTACCGAACGAGATCTGGTCGCCTAGGGAGGGTTTGGGCATTAGGTATGTTTTTTTGTTAACGAAATGATGCAATAATCAAGTTTAAGTTTAATGCTACATTTTCGAACAGGAGGTTATCAAAATGATGATTCTCGACAGCGTAAGGATTTACTTCTAGAAGACTCTCTCTGGGTTTTAATTAGGGTTTATTGACTAATAAAACGCATCATAATTTTTAAAGTAGAGTTCTCGTTGCCCTAATTAATTAATTCCTAATTCTGACACTAATTCTGACATATATCTAAAATTTCCGCTCCTCTCCACAATGCTACGTTTGTTTTCAGTGAATTGAATAATTATGACCGGCTCTTTTACGTTTTTTTTAATCAATTCATTAATATTGGTTGCTTAGCAATTTGATTATTAATGTTAGGACTGCATTGGTGAATAATTATGATCATGCTCTCGCGGAATACATGCTCTAGTTCAGCCGTTATTTTGTAACGTGCATGTTAGATAAGCTTTTGCATTTTCATGATTCATTCTTGGTAAAATTCAGAGATTAATCAACTATCGTTTCAACATTAAGTTTTAATTCGTGCTTCACATATAGATTAATATTAAAATTATTTTAAATTTCGTATTTTATTACGGTTATTTTAAGATGGGAAACGGTACTATTCTTGACATTTTCAAAATTAAAAAAAAAATTACAAAATGATGAAATGATGCCTAAAACCAAAGGGCTACAACATACTGTCTTCGACCTGTATGTAACTCACGCAATTATTGTAGTATATGTCCATTAAAATAATTCTTCTCTAATACTCCCTCCGTCTCATAATTATTGTCCAGTTTAGATTTTTATTTTTAGTTCAAACTGTACTAAAAATAAAGTCTCAAATTGGACAATAATTTGGGACAGAAGGAGTAGTAAGTAATTCAGTAAATGGTACTTGAGTAATTTCAGACAAAAACCAAGGGCAATCCCAAAGAGCCTCAACTATATTAACCCACTTCACTCAGAGCAAATATTCACACACATCCACAACGTTTACTAATTAGTCACACTCAAAATCAAAACAATCAAAGCCCAAAAAAAAACCCAAAAGCCAAAAATGTCTCAAATAACAGAGGAGATCAGGGCAAGTGCATCAGAGCTGTACAGAGGGAACGAAATCTGCCAGGAGAAATCGAAGTTCCTGCTGAAAGAAGTCGGGTTACCAAACGGGTTGTTACCCATGGACGACATGGAGGAATGCGGGTACGTGAAGGACACCGGCTTCGTCTGGCTCATTTCCAAGAAGAAAACAGAGCACAAGTTCAAGATGATCAGCAAGCTGGTTCAGTACTCCAACGAGGTCACGGCGTACGTGGAACAGAACAAGATCAAGAAACTAACCGGGGTTAAGGCCAAGGAGCTGCTCATGTGGGTCACCATCAGTGAGATTTATGTGGATGAGCCTTCCACCGGAGAGATCCATTTCAAGACCCCTGCCGGGTTATCCAGGACTTTCCCTGTTGATGCTTTTGTTGTTGATGAACCCGTTAAGAATAATTCGGATCCAGTTAACAAGGTTGAAGATGCTGCTGCTGCTGCTCCTGCTGTGGAGGTCAAGGAGGTTTAGTTATTGTTCTTTGGATGAATTTGAGGATGACCCGAATAATTTGTGATGTGGGATTAGTGTTATTTGATGCTAAGAATATATGGGATGGGATTAATTATGGCAGAGTTTGATGATACTCCATATGATTTGTATCTTCTTCTTAATGATGCTTACTGGTTTTATTCAGGTTTATCTTTTATTGGATTAATATCAGTTTGAAACTATGCTATTACTTCTAATGGTTATTCTTCATCTGTTTTTGTAGTTTTTTTTTTTTTGTCTTTGAATTTGATAAAGAACTACTCCTACTATTGAAGTTCTTCAAATTAAATTTATGTATAGTGTCCGCTATCCGTTGACAATCATTTTAGGACGTGAGAGTATTATAGAAAATTATTATAATCAAATTTAATAGAAATTGTTAGATTTCAATGATTGCTCTAGAGATAATCCTCTTCATCATGAAGCCCCTACAACATGTATGATCAGATCCAGAAAAAGTGAATAAGACTAGCATACTGAAACTTACTGTATGAGCTAAAATAATTTGATTAGATTTGGATTTCATACCAGTTAGATAAATGCTGAATTCCCATCATTCAGACTGATGCACAACACATTCATCCATTACAATATTACCTCACGCTTCCATGCATAGCTCTAAATTGGATTAAAAAAAATTCATCCCTTTCATTGTGAAATGCAAAAAATTTAATGCATGTTAGAAATGAGAGGTCCATTTTACTCCCTTTGAGCAATTTTTAGAGTAAATAAAAACTTAAAAAGTGTGTGACAAAACTTTCAGCCACCAGCCTTGTCCATACCTGTCCAGTGAGGTGCTTCCTATTGGGCCAATAAGTCCATATTTGCATCCTTTACTCTTTCTTTCAGCTCTTTTTTTCTTTTCTTTTTCCAATCATCTCTCAAAATTAATTTTTTTTTCCTAATTATCTTTTAGGAATTTTCTTCTTCAATTCTCATAGTTCCGCGGCTAACATTTTGATTTTTGTGTTTGTAATTGTAGAATTCAGAAATGATCATTTACTCTTTAACATGTCTCGAAATTTAACCTACATTTATCATTTACTCCTTTCGTCTGAAATGATCATTCAATTTGAATTTTTAATTTTGATATACATTATACTAAAAATAACATCCGAAACCACATAATTATTTTGGAACACGAGGAATACTTGTTTTTATTGCTTACCGTTTGTTTCATTAAGATAATTAATTTGCTAAGGATACAATTCTTTGGGTACGTCATTGAGTGAAAGTTGTAGCGAAATCAATCAACTTCTCTAGGCGCTTTTCTACGGGTGCGCTAAGTCATCTGCAAACATATTGCACCCAGAAAAGAATGAAAACGAATCATCTTTAAATATTCGTTATTAGAAATAACTAAACAGTAATGGAATAACTTGAAAGTCAGTCTATCCAATTGCTGAAAATATAATACAACTACTTCATAGAATCAGATGAAGATCGATCTTCTTGATATAATAAGCTCATCCGAAACTGAAAGAAAAAAAAAAGAAAGAATGGGTTAACCGATACAGTAATCTCCCTTAGCGAAAGGAAGACAACGCCTAATGCACTCCGAGGATTGGAAACCTTACAAAAAATCATGGTGAATTCATTGTAATTCTTCATTTATTTTGCGGGTTCATGATGAGTACGTGCAAGCCCCCACCTGAACTGTAGAAAAAGAAAAGTATACCATCTTTAATTAAAAGAATGATTAAAAAAATAGCTTTTTCCGTAAATTAAAGAAACTATAATCAATTGGCAGTTAAATTCCCCAATCCGCCCACCTTGTTAGAGGAAACAAATCCGTTGAATGCATTTCTCCAATAGGTCAGTCAATTGCTTATAGCATTTCAGGCAGAAGTGCAAAACCCTAAACAACCATGAGACACGCCTAGGTTGAACAAATCCTAGGCGGCCTTTGAACTCCTTTTGTTTGTTTTTCAGACCCTCAATTTGAGTAGTTGAAAGACTTTAAACTTGCTTGTGAGAACGGACGTAATAAAAACTCTTTAGGACATGTGATTCAAAGGGGAAAAGGGGCATGTATAAATTAATTTACTGAACGTTGCTACCTAATTAGACGAATATCTAGCAGAGTTTTTATATTACATATATGGTGCAATAATTTAGGGTAAATAACTCTTACAATGCTTGCTCCTTAATTTGATTGTTTGATTCACTGTAACGTTATAGTTTCATTGTTACATAATATTGGTCTACTAAAATCAGACAAAAGGAGTGTAATAATTACAAAAAAATTATAATAGTTACGCATATCAATCAGGTCAAAAAAGAAGTTGAATTATTACGGTCGATAAAATAACTTTTGACAAGAGTATGAGCTAGAGCCAAAAGTGGATTTAGACATCAAATTAAGGCACAATTTTACGCGTTATTAAAAAAAAATGAAACTTGAGGGCGACAAGAAAAGGACTAATTCAAACCGTTGTCTGAAAAGAAGGGTATAGATTATTGCAGAAGTCCGGTGCTCACATGTGACCTATAGCTAGCTATAAATATGTCCCCAAAGTAGCTATTAATCATAATCCACTCCATTAGCATTAATTCCACATCTCTTTAATTAATCTCTCTTGAATCCTAAATTACTTAGCTCATACTCCACTATATTAGAGCAAAAAATTGAAAGAAAAAAAAAAAAAAAGATGTCTCAAATTACAGAAGGGATGAAAGCCAACAGTACTAATGCAATAGAAGTTTACAAAGGAAAATCAATATGTCAAGAGAAATCAAAGTGTTTTCTCAAAGACCTAGGTTTACCAAGTGGCCTGCTTCCTTTGGATGAGATTGAAGAGTGTGGATTTGTGAAGGAAACTGGATTCATCTGGCTGAAACAGAAGCGTCACAAACAGCACAAGTTTGAGAAGATTGGCAAGTTTGCTCATTATGCGACCGAAATCACTGCCTACGCCGAACCGAAGAAGTTGAAACAAGTGACCGGAATCAAGGCTAAGGAACTCTTCATGTGGATCACTGTGACTGAGGTCAATGTTGACGACGACTACGATGATTCGAGGTCGTCCTCGGCCGGAAAGCTCACTTTCAAGACCCCAACCGGGCTTTGTAAGGTTTTTCCGGCATCGGCTTTTGAGGCCGCGGAAACCTGATGAAGATGAGATCATGTGCATGCAAAGGAATAGGACTTACAAGGAGAGAATTAATTTAAGTCACGACAACACACCTTAGTTTATTTTGTTTTACTTTATTTTTATTTTTATTCTTTTTACATATATTTCCATAGCTACACTATGGTTATGGAAAGATGATCAAGAATTAATGCTGCATTTTGCATTTTGGTTCTCCTCGGGTTCGGAATCAATTTCTTTAGTTCTTTTATGCATGCACTTGTAAACGTTACTGGTTCATTTGCCACTTTATAATTTATATGCTACTATATACTTGAAAAGTGTGTTCTATTTTATACATATCATTGAATCCTGTATGCCCTAATTAAATTACTCGCTCTCCTCCGAAAGCTGACTTAATTCATCAGTGTTTTTTAGTCACGCGATATATCTCAGTTTAAGATTTGAGATTTTCTCTTTTGTTATACCTAGGAAAAAAAACGTTTTAATGGCCCTCTATTTCCCAAGGGTGCAATTAAAAAATGATTTCAAGTCCTAACTAAAAGATTTAAGGAAATGAATTAAAGAAACCCTGTTGCATCGAATACTGTTGCGGTGTGCGGAACTGGGCAGAAAGGCAGAAAAGAGGCTTTCCCTTAATTGTCATGCAAGTAATTGAGAAAAAGTACCAATGATTAATGTCAATGGCTCATTTCAGATATTACGAACTAATCTTTGATGGCGGGCGGCCGCGGGTCATGCATGTTGGACTACACTTCTAATGGTTTTCTGCTCTACTCTAAAACTGGTGACTGGGGGAGTTTTTATGAAATGATTAATGTCCATTTTCAATTTTCTTCAAATTATAGTAAAAGTCATTTTAAGATAAAGAAAAAAAAATTTGACTTTGTAATGTTGTTATTAGTTGTTTCCATAAATTTATCCCCTTCGTCAAATCTTTTGACTCAATCTTGTAATTAAGTTAACTTGGTTCTTAGTTTCAAATTGCGTCGCATGCATGCACAATTCACCAATATAAACTATGTACAAAGTTGTTTTTGCGCGGTATATTTCTTATTTAGGTCTAAAAGTTAATTTCTATAACATAATAATATACTCCCTCCGGTCTTTAATATAAGCTATTCTAATTTGTCCTAAATTTCACTTAGTACCGATTTTTAGTTGTCAAAAAAACTTTAAAAATATATTTTCGCATTCGTTATGATCTCTTGATTATTATGAAATATTTTAAGGTTTTTATGTCAATTTAAAATGAATACTAAGTTAAACCTAAAACAAAATCAAAATGTCTTATAATAAGGATTGGAGGGAGTAATTAGCTTACTCTACCTCATTAGCAACTAATGTAGACTTCTTTCTTCAGGTTGTCTACGTCCCAACCCCGATCGGAATAATGATAAATATGAAAATACATAAAGATATTTATGTTTTTCTCATGATATTATTTGGACAATAAATTAATATTTCTTTCATCCTAAAAAATTGTCCAGTTTAAATTTTCATTCATTTACCGTAAAAATTTTAAGAAAAATGAAAATTTAAAATATACAACAATTCTAGAACAGAAGGTACATTTGGGAAAGGGTTACGAAAAACATTCTTACAGCTTCTTTTAGTCAATAATTTTACCAACGCTTACTATAAATTACGAGCTAGAGAACAACCCGCAATCGATCTTTTTCCGGTTGACCATGTCATCAATAGGAGTCAAAACACACCATTAGTTCAGTTCTATGTGGTGTAAACATTTTCTTGTGTGACAGAATCATCAATTTAGTCTATGATAACAATAATATATTTTCTGGGGCGGCTTGAGAGGGTAACGTACATGGATAGAACTTACAACTGCAGAATGCTTTTTTGACTCATGGAATTGGAGCATCACCAAAATTTACTTGCGTAGAACCAGAGAATCGAACCCCGATTTTCATCGACTTGCCTCTTTTGGTCCAAACGTTAAAAAGTTTGAAATAACTTACGGCTCAATAATACTATGTAAAATTCATAAGTCCAAACTATCACGAAAACTCAAATGCAGACGATGTCCCAATTAACTTCTTATGCAAGTTAGCTAATAATCAAACCGAGAGAGAGGCAGCTACCTCTAGATGCTGTGCTTTTTCAGTAATTATCTCTTTATAGTGCCTGTCAATTCAATGAGATCGGTGCACATGGTGTTATTGGTGGAGGTAGATAGGAGTGGGGGCACTTGTTCCCCTTCTCCCCCAATTGTTGAAATTCTAATTCAAGAATAGTGGACAACAATGGTTGCACTAGATCAAAGAACAAGAGGAAGAATTTATGGTTAGGACAAAAGAAAGTTTTGTCTCCAAGTCACAAGTAAACTTGCTTTCCTTTAGGCTAAATTCGTCCACTATACAGTGCAATTGTCTAGGCGAATTCTCTATGAGATAAAATGGAGATCATGTTGCTTCATTATGCATTTTAGTGAACCAACAACCTGATGCAAGGATAAGAAATGTCATTGGAAATATTCCAAGTATTTGGTAATTTCATTGTACATTAAAAGCATCCAAATGATCCATATTTATAGAGTTAGAGGAAACTCTTGAAGATTAGACACAACCCTTAATTATGGTCCTAGACATAACTTTTCATTAATGTCTTTTCATACGGAGTCCATAGGCATAAGCGATTAGTTGTGTCTCTACAATATATTGAAAACACCCAATAGGTATAACATATTAATTGTGTCCCTACAATATATTGAAAATAACTCCAATACCAATTTCTCTCATTTTAGTTTTCTGAAATAGGTTTTGCTGTGATGGAACCAGCCCAAACATTCCTAAGATCGAATATAACTAAAAATATATATAAAAGAATTTATAGTATTTTTCTTAAAAAAAATTTGCTGACCTCCTTTTCACCCCTTTAGTTCCGTCCATGATATTTTGGTTTTACATTTACAGTTACATATGTTCTTACCTTCAGAAAATTTAAACTTGTTTTTGAGAAGTCAATTTTGAGATTGATTGTTTTGTTTTTATAAGGGCGATAAATCTCAGAAAGTTTATGCATATCGCCTAATTGTGGTAAAGTATAGCTAAAATATAATGAATTAGTGTTTTATCTTTTAAGTTGATGCACTAGAAAAAGAGACAAGTTATTCTTTTTTGGTTCCTTACTTATAAGAGCATCTTCAACCATTGCACTATAATTTACACTAAATTTAGTGTAAAAATAGAATATTCCAAGTATTTTTGGACACTAAAGTTCTTTGCACTCCAACTTTAATGCACCAAAGATCTAAACATTAAATATTTTTAGTTTAAATTTTATTTTAGTGGTTGATTAAAATCTTACAATTTGGTATGATTTATTTCCAAATCGTTTTTTATCTGATTATAGAAATATGAAGTTTTTCTTTTTTTTTTTTACATATTCAATTTTAATAATGATTAAAAATAAATTTTATTTTAAAAATAAATTTTTATATTCAATATGAGTCTTATTTTGTAGATATCAAGAAAATATTTAATATGATATAATTTTTACAACATAATTTATTTTATAAATTTAATTATATAGCAAATATATAATTAGATCAAAGTAAAATATTGTGCACAAAAGATAGTGTATGACAATTTATACCATTTGGTGTAACACTATTTACTGCACTAAAATAGTGCACTGATTTGGTGTTTTCGTTGAAGTAAAAAGTTTACAACAAAACACCAAATATAGTGTTTTGGTGTGTTCGTTGGAGATGCTCTAAGTCACTTAATTAATCGAATCATCATTGCTAAAGTAATTATATACAGTAATTAAGTAGAGATAAAATAATTTTATCTATGAAGTGGAGAAGGAAGAAATCTCAAATAGTAGAGACAAAACGATATGTTTTTTAATATAATAAAGGTGAAATTACACTTTTTTAAAAAAAAATTAAACATTTTCTTAATAAACGCCACTGCCTCTGTGGTTAAAGCTGATTAGGAGCTGATAAAATTGTAAACATTAAACAAAGAATGAAAATAACGAGTAAACAAGTAATAATTTCTCAGTTTTTTTTTTCCTACACAATTCCTTAGGATTTTCGAACATTGACAGCGTACTAGTCAATGAAGGCAGTATCTTTCGGATCTGCCAATAAAAAAAAACTGTAAGATCCATGAAAGTGGAAACCATAAGATTTGCTGTGAAGTTTGAATTGCAGATTGTTTATTTCTTGATGAATGAATAGATTCTAAATTTAATATACTCTCGTTGCCCCCAAATAAAAATTATTTTGTTATATTATTTAATTTAATAAAGTGATTTATTTTTCTGAGACAAAGAGATACTTCTTATTATGAATTTTTTTTTTAAGAAAGTAAGATTATAGAGTAATGATCTGATTAAGTATAGAATCCACGACTTTTAACATTCATCATGTTTGAGAATTTGCGTTTCACAGTTGAAAATTTATTTATTGGAAAAATCGAGATACAACAGATTTAACATAGGGTTTAAAACTCACAATCAGTGGGAAGTTATTACAGTACTTAGGGTTTAAACCCGCTTCCAAAACAGTTGATTGTCCCTTCGGGGACATCCGATAAAATGAGAACGATACAGAGAAGATTAGCATGGCCCCCTGCGCACGCACAAATCGAGAAATGGTTCAAATTTTTTTGGTTTTTCCTCACTGTTATGGGCCGCAATCTCTTTCTTTCTTCCAGGCTTTAGTCCATAAGTTTCTCGGGCTTTTCTGTTCTATGTGCTGTCACATACTGGGGTTAAAATAGAAATAAATTGGAAGTATAGGACTATATTGGAATATTTTTGTAATAGTTTGATTAGCCGGTTTAGGATATTTTAGGATATATACTATATTGGAAAAAAGAAAAAAAATTATGTTTTGATCATGAAAATTTGAAAGGAACAGTCTTACAATCCAAACTTCTGTGGATTGCAAGGGTTACAAATGAGAATTTCTGCCACAATTTCAACGTACCAATACATATCATGTATAAAAACCACTCTCAGATCATCACTGTTGGTCCTAATTTGACACTCTCATCTCATTAATCAAAAATCAGTGTCAAACAAGTAGATCCAGATAAGATGCATATTTCAGTCTTCTGTGAACTTGTTCAATTAACTCTTAACAGTATTTTCACTACATACTATGCTCCAATATAACACAAGATCTCGTCTCATGGACCCAAACGTGTAAAAACAAATACATCTTATTTTCAATCCAATGCCTTAGAAAACGATTCCCTCTGTTCCAAATAAATAGTCCACTTTGTTGAACTAAAATCACGTAGCTGTATTATTTTAGTTCAAGAAAGTTGACTAATTTTTTGGTACACATGGAGAAACATATATGTTGTATAACACTATAACGGTAGCTTTTTAGTATGTATTATGCACTAATAATTGCATTCTATTCTCATTCACTCCTAAATTACCAAAACTTCTGCCCTCCTCCCACTCGCTCTTGCATCTTCCGATCCTGGAAAAGAAATCCAGTTGTTGATTCAAAATGAATTACAACTTAGAAAAAGAAAATCTCAAATGAAAAAAGAAAGAGTAATAAAGAGGTAGTAGTGGAACTTAATTATCTAGGAAATCAATCACTGTATGCAGTACCTAGGAAGGAATGATCCATTTTCCATCAATCCAGTCCTGGTGCTGCCTCAAGTCACCATGCTTAAACTCCATTTTCTCTTGGGTTTCATGGAAATAGACAACATACTTTTTACCCCTGAGAACTTTGGAAATCATTCCTGTCCACCAACAATCTTTGTAAAGGGCATCTACTTTCTGGAGAACTTTGAAACAGTCAACATACTCAGTCTTTGGTGGTTGGGGTCGTATATTTCGACCATCAGCCTCTTCTGTCAATAATTCCGTGTTCTTGTCATTTCTAAAGTTCTGGTATTGCACCATGTACTTCTCTTTCTTTAGCCGCCGCAGGATGGTCGCAGAAAGCCAAGCTCCTTCAAAACCCTCCTCATCCGATCTAACTTCCACTTGTGCTCCTTGGTTAAAATTCAATTGAACTGTCTCTTTCACAGGCTTCAGGTTTTCTGGTGTAGACTGCAGTGCAATTACAAGTCAGAACATGGCCAAAGCAGAAACCACAACCACTATCAAACAAATACCTCTTCCATTTCTTAAAATGCATTAATCTATTCCACATATTATCTTCTTACACAATTAACAATCCAAGAGAACATAATGCAGACAAATTTAATCACTTCTCCCTAAGTTCGGATGAGAAGGCACAGAAATGCTACGAGACATATTCAAAGATTGCCATAGGACCATTTCACTATTTGGATATGTCACGGATGATTACTAGAAGACAAAGGACAGAAACCATTATCCAGAAAAAAAAAAAAGGACACCCCCAGAGGAGTTGCTTTCTCATATTTGTTATACCATTGCAGGTTATAGTAAGTTTTTCAAGTTAAGTACATCAGAACAGAGTCAAGTACCTCAGCTTCAACATGAAGATCCTTGACATATCCTTTCTGTTCCATATTATTAGTTTGTGATAGATTTTAAACCAACCAGGTCAGCACATGGTCTCGATACTGACCTCACATAGTTGGAGGATAAAGGCTTAGTGATTACTGCTATCGTTTCGAACCACCAACTTAAGACAGATAAAGTCGCGACGTTTTTTGGACTCCGAGTTACAATTGAACTTTTGCATAGTTCTAACATCTTCATTTTCCAAGACAAGTGATTATTTCTAACATGTTTCATTGAACCAAATCTCCTAGTTTCCTAAATTCAACCGATTAGAGACATCAACACATGCACTTACAGTTCGAGAAGCCAAGATTAAAAAAAAAAAAAACAAACTAGCAAGACTTCTAATCTACAAGGTGGTTTCATTTGCCCGCAGGACAGATCAAGTTTAACTACGTAAGTAGGTTGCTAGGACAGTGATCGGATGCAGAACGAGGCAGGTCCAATTTTTAAACATGGCTCAAAAGAACCAACTGATCACTCAAAACAAGATCAAAACTGATAGCTAGTACTGATGGCTCCAGCTGCAGAAACTCCACTATAGAATGGATTACAGTACTTCAGAATGAAGGCTTAAAAATGTTTGCTTTTTGCCCATCATTGCTTGCATAGTGGAAGTCTATTAACCAAATTGAGGTGGTTCCAAAGGGCTAATCTTTTCATATATGTCAAGTTAGGCAAGTAAATGCATGCGAATTCACTGATGAACTACTGGAGATAGTCATGACAGGTTCACAAATATCCAAATCTAAGCACCCAAATGATCATAAGTACTAAGTTTGAGGAATAGGGAGTTCCCAGAGAAAGTGTGAAATACCACTCTCTATGATCAAATATAAATGTTCCCAATAATTGAATCTTAAATAAGAAACTTCTGATGAATGATATTGCAATCCAAACCAATATCCACTAGATTTCACCACAAAAAAAAAAACAAAAAAACCTCAAACTTCAAGAACCATAATCCATTCCCTACGCACGTACGTACCTTATCTTCAGCAACTTCTTCCGGTTGCAGCGGTGGAACCCACCTCTGGTAGTCCACCCATTCACGGTGGAGCCGGAGTTCCGACGGCCAAAACTTTGTTTGCTCTCCGTTAGCCCTGAAATACACCGCAAACCTCCCATCCTCTAAAACCTCTGTGATGACGCCTTCCCACCATCCATCCTGAATATAAGCATCGACTTCGTCGCTCAACTTAAACCGGCAGTGACTCTCCCGGGGCGGCGGCGGCCTCACTAGCACCACGTCCAACTCCTCCCTAAGCTTCTTCTGTCCCAATTCATTAGCCAATATTGTCTTGTACTCCACCAAAACCTTTTGTTTTTTCACCTTCTTGATCAAAGTTCCAGAGTACCATGAACCCCGGAAGCCCTCCTCATTGCTGCTGATCTCAATTTCATCTCCGTTCTTGAAGTAATCCATGATCAAGTCGTCCTTGCATTTAAAACAAAGCAAAAGGGATTTAGGATCACTGAATAAAAAAGAATTTGGTTTAGATTTTCAGGGTCAAATTTGGTTTGGATTTTCAGGGTCAATACCCATTTCAGATGCGAAAATTGAAGCGTGTTTGTTATGATGGGAAGTATTGTTAAACTAGAGTTTACAATCCCGCCATAGTTGCTTTCTTTAGGAAGACAGATATTATTCTTTTCATCTGAATTAAAATTGTTTTGGCCTTTTTGAGTCGGTTGAGGAATGATGCATTTATGTAACCGTTTGATCCAAAATGATTCGATGGGATCGTGTGGACTGTAGAAGATCATTATTATCATTATTATCGGTTTCATATGCTATTTTTATCATTAAAAAAAAAACAATAATAATAATAATAATGAAAACTCTCACTTGCAGTTTCTCAGGATTGAATAAACTGTCTTCGTGGAAATCATATGATTGGATTAACTTATACAGCACAGTTTGTTTACAACTGTCTAGTTCAGTTATTGGAGATGGAATAAAAGCACTGCTAGCTTCTCGTAAAAGAATTGAGCATATAAAAAATAACAGTTCTTGTAATGGTGTAGCTCATTCAAAGAATATAGGAAACTGTAATACTCCAAAACATCATTCAGGATTATGATCACATACCACATAGGGAATGTCAACTAGCATCAGCCATGTTCAACTCTCTGTCCTATCAGGCTTTCCATTGCTTTAAGTAGTTACACTCAGGATGCCAAAATCTGTCATATATGTCTCTGTCAGGCAATATTACGCATGTCAACCGTCAAGTATGTTGTTTTGCCGGGGCGAGACAGTTTCCATGGTAGACGAATGTTGCAAAGATGTCCATCTTTGACACTCGGGATCTTGCAGTTGACAAATTGTGTGATGTTCATCGCCTTTTTCTTCGCAAGAACCTGCTTTAGCATCCACCAGTGCTAACTCTTGAAGAGAGGAGGAGCGGTGAGCAACCATTCAGCCAGAGGCTTTTGCTAACTCTTCAAGTTTTGGATATATAGGCAAAGTTAAACTGGTAGGAAGTTTCTGACTTCTGAGCAAATTTATATCTTCAAAGAAATAAGGGATGTGAATTGGTGACTCGGTGAAGCTAAAAGAGATTCCAGTTCTGAACAATATTTCAATGCAGATCAAGAGTTTCAGTGTAGGCAATTCTTCTTTGGAAAGGGCTCAGGAATCGACAGTTGCGCAAGATGTGAGAAACACTGCATATGTATAATGCAGTAAAGTTTCAACGTTTCCATTTCGAAAATGTTAAGCTCTTCAGGAAAATATGTTTGCCGGTCTGCTAAAAAATTCCATGGAAACTTGTTCTTGAAGCTCAATACTTCTATTGACAATTTTCTTGAATTTACTTGTAAGGTTACCAGCTGGCCAAACACTCACATAGAAGCAATTTCCGATGTCTATGGTTAAGACATTGCAACCCTGTTCTCAAGACATTTAGGCGTGAGCGAGATACCAGTCTTCAGAGCAGAAACCAGCCTCGGTCAATATTCAACCTTTATCAATCCTAACTCATGGACATTGACCTGCCAAGCTCCCTAGTTCAAGCGTCAAAACTTGAAGATCAATGCGCAGCAGTTATTTCTCCTTTCTTAAGTGGAGAGTCTTCGACACATAGAATTCACATGGAAATGCCACTTCTCCACAAAATATGAATTCGTCATATTTAAGATCTCAAGGGCTTCAACTTTTCTAACAAACCTCAGAAGTTGTCTTGAAATGCACGAATTGCCCGTAAATGACTCACACTTCAGGTATATTAAAGAGTCCAGATGCATGGAACTATCATGTATCAGTATGCGGCAATCTGATGATTTAAATCATGACGAAGATGAAGACTCAAGGTAATCTAGTCTTGTTTCTGACTCTCAGATATGAAAGCAGATGAAGATGATGGAACTCAAATTCAAATCGCGGAACTCCAGTATAACTAGCCTAATCCTCCCACTCAGATACGCATACCATTTTGAAACCCTTCAGAAAATAGATAATCATCAATTTCCCTGCATATTGATGCAGGCTACGCAGCTATTTGTAGATATTTGAGCATTGGCAGCTCCCCAAGAGTCGTAAAGACTACATTTAGCGCCGTCGACTAGCTGGCTGTATAATAAAAGAAATCGACGATCACCAATCCAAGTTGGAGCGTCAAGAACCAAATAAATCAGTTTAAGCTTCCACAAATTTCTTTGAAGTTGTAGCATTTCATCACAAGAATTACGACTGTTCTTCCAGATCATTGCTATCTTTATGGCATGTCTCGTGATTTAAATTGCCTCTTTCTCTTCTGAATATCAGCTATATTCTTCAAAACCATGTAGGAAATCATCCAAATCAGAACCATGACCTAAATCTTTCATGTGCTGGACAAGCTCTTCCAGAACTTGGTAAACCCATTCTATATGTGAACCCATTTTATCTCCGGCAACAAAACAGTACATTTGATTTTGCAGTTCAACCCAACTTCTACCAGTTTCTTTCTTATTCCCCATCCTTCTCATCAGTTTTCGAGCTGCTGCAAACTCTCCCCAGTTACCATCAGCAGCATACAAGTTTGATAATGTCACGTATGTTCCTACGATACTGGGCTTCAATTCCAACACCCTACTCACTGCTAATTTACCTAAATTTGGATGTTTATGCATTTTACAAGCTCCAAGAAAAACCCCCCAGACAGTTTCATCAGCTGGGAAAGGCATACTCTTAATAAGCTCATAAGCCTCCTCAACTTTCCCAGCACGTCCTAGCAAATCTACCACACAGCCATAAACCCCCTGCTCTAGTTTGATATTGTAGTCACCAATCATTGATCTAAAATACCTCAAGCCTTCCTCTACAAGTCCAGCATGGCTACAGGCACTAAGAACTGCCATAAACACTATATAATCAGGTCTTGTACCGGATTTCACCATCTCATCGAACAATTCCACAGCCTCCTTTCCATAACCATGGCTGCCATATCCAATCATCATGGATGTCCAAGAAAGAAGATTTTTCCAAGGCATTTGATCAAAAATTTTGCGTGAATTTATGATGTTGCCACATTTGGCATACATATCTATCAAAGCATTATCCATTTCTACATCCCCCCCAAGGCCTCTTTGTATAATTCTACCATGAATCTGTTCTCCAAAGCTCAAAACTGCCAAATTAGAGACAGCTGCCAAGATGCTGGTAAATGTGAAGCAATTAGAACTATAGCCTTCTGACTCCATTCTAGAGTACATAATGAGTGACTTATGTGAATCAGACTTTTCATATCCAGCAATTAAAGTATTCCACGTTATTGAATTTTTCTCAGTCATTCCATGAAAACACTCCTCTGCATCAGATAAAAAGCTACATCTACAGTACATGTCTAGTATGGAATTCATCACAGTAATATTTGATTCAAATCCATACTTCACTACTGCTGCATGCATTTGTTTACCGTACCCATAAGAGCCAATTGAGGCACAAGCCCTAACTATAATCGAGGTGCAAAATGGATTCAGCTTAGCTTCCTCCTATCCAAAAGCACAAATAAAATTTGCACATTGAGATTTGCTAAATGCAGTAAAGCCAAAAAAAAAATTAAAGAAAAAAGAGGAAAGAGAGAAAAAAAGAAAAAAGAAAAAAAAAGACACCTAAATCAAGACACTTCCATAAATTTCATGTCTTGACCCTGTTATAATATATCAATAAAACTGCACACGACTGCAGCTTATGCATAAAAAGTATGTATGAGTAAAAAAACTCCAATAGGATTATGTTGTTAACTTTGTTAATACTTCTTATTAGAGCTTGAACAAATCAGTAGCATGCAAGCCATAATATTGGACACGGATTTCACTTTCAGAAAGAAAATAAATAAATAAAGAAATAACTGATTTGCAGATAATAAGATGATAACTCAATTTTCTCATATCTGCTAATCATCCTCTTTACAGAACTCAAATAAAGGGACTAAATCACTGATCAGTGTATCCTAGCCTTAAGTACATGATATTTGTTTGCGTATGACTTCATAGGAAAACTGTAATATCCATATTCGAGTCGGGATTGAGCTCCAGAAAATTAAAGGGAAAATAGAGTCTGTTTTTCAACAATTTCTTCTTAATTGAGAATAAAGAGTTGTAAGTACATTAATAGACTAATTTCCATAAAACTACGGAGAAACTTCTCCAGTAACCTTCCAAAACTACTTCACTTATCCAAATTAAATTCCTAACCATTTAGAAGAGTAAATAAATTATTAACCTACGGTAACTAAATTCTAAACTCTAGCGTTACAAAAACCGTTCTCCCCTCTCCCCCACCTTCCTTAAATCTTTCCATCATCCTCCTCCCTATTTCATCAGACTTAATATGACTCTCAAGGAAAGAAGAACAAACAAAATAGTATAGAACAAAACAATGACAACAGCAACAACGTCAATGTGAGACGAAGAGTACATACCATAAGCATTTGACGAAAAACTCGAAGTGCGCCATAACCGTCATTCTTGTGGGTGTACCCAGCTATCAATGTAGTCCAAGAAACATCGTTCTTATTGCTAATTTCCTCAAACAACATGCTGGCCTCATCCATAGTGCTAGAACACGTTGCATACATGTCTAAGAGTACATTCTCCACATAAATGCACCCTCGCATGGGGTATTTGATCACCAGACCATGCACCAACAAGCCACAAAAATGCGACTCCATACCTTTACAAGCCTTTAGCGCACTAGAAAATGTATACTCGTTAGGAACCGCACCTCTGGAGTCCGTGATCATCTCGCGGAATACTTCCCACGCACGCTTGTGCAAGTTACACGAAGTATAACCAGAAATCATGGCTGTCCAAGTAACAACATCTTTCGTAGGCATTTCATCGAACAGTATCTGAGCTTCCCTAACTTGCCCCTTCTCGAAGTATGATTTGATGACATTGGTGGCTAAAAATGAAAGGGGTTTCGCCAAAAATGGTTGGTTTAATTGGTTTGATTGAGCTTGTGCCCATTTAAGCGCATTCTTTACTGACTGTGGGATCTGATGATCATGTACGCTGGACAGTAATGTTCTTGAAACCATCTCTCACGGATTCTCAATTGGCTCTAGTTTATTAGAATTAGAGAAATTCTTGGCACCCACTTCTCATAACGTTTCATACAGGGCAGTTTAGTTGTTGAATAAATAGTTTTTTTAAAAAAAAAGGGGAAGAAATCCGAAAGAGTTCAGAAATTCGTGCTTTCTGCTTCCTCTGCCCCACGGCGGCAAAAGGCAACGTTCAAAGTTAAAGGCTTTGTTTGTTTCAATTTTTATATGGTTTTTTTTTAATTATTGTATAATTAACTGTCCCATCTCAACATACTTTTTTACATTTCTAATACACCTTTTTATATTTTCAATACAAAAAACACCTAAAAACACACACTAAAAAAACAAACATACCCTAAAATACGTGACCTCCCCTCGAAGTTTTAGAAAATGGCGGATCGAGTTTGTGAAAAAATATATATATTCATTCCTTTGACTAGTCAATATTATATAAATAGTACTACTCCCGTCCTATAAAAATAATTTATTAAACCACATGCTCAACCAATTGTAAATTATACTATTTTTGTGAGACAGATAAAGTAGAATAGTTTTTAATCGTAATAAAAAAAAAAAGTCTATTATCATACAACCAGCCTACAAGGTAATCAATTTTGCAGTAATCAAATTATATTCATATGCTTCATCTGCTTATAAATTTTGCAGTTAGAAGTAATCAATTTATAATATTCATAATATGCTTCATTTCCACTTACTGCAAGGTATTGTATGAGGGCAAGCTTTCAATTTTCATTAGGAAGCTGTAACATATTTTCCCAACACTTTCAGAAGTTTATCCAGTTTTCTCACCACATTTTTTCTTTGGAAAACTGAATTCGCCACATTTGATTGTTCAAAGTGAAAAAAGATTGAGAAAAGAAAATTGCTACTATACTGCCACGAAATTAGGGTAATGTATGTATCAAGCAAGCAACTTTTTTCACACCAAGAAGTATATCTATTACTCCCTCCGTCCCATAATTATTGTCCAGTTTTGTTAAAATACAAGATTTTATTTTTGGTCAAATAAAACCTTTTTTTAGGCATAAACTCCCACATATACCCCTGTGTACATAAATGGTTTATCCGGCCAACCCCATTTCAGAAAGCAGGAAGAATACTGGTACTTTCATTTGTTCTTCAATCAGGCACCCGAAGAACTTCAAATCTGGAGAATCTTCTCGCTCAAAATTTCAATTTGAAATTTACGAGACAATTTTTCTATTTCATTGAAAAGTTTTTGGATTGAAGGAGGTCTTCAAATCTGAGCCGCCAATCGAACAAAAGTCTCGGATGAATTGATTTGAATTTGACGAAAGTTCTAGTTTTGAATTTTTAATCTGATGCTCTTCCGATCGATGTAATTATTCTATTTTGCAGACAATGTCCTTCTAATCCATCGCCGCTACTTGGAGTGGTCAGAATTTGTCAAAAATTTATTCTCTATATTTTTTTTCGGCATCTAGCCGACCACCTCATCTTCACCTCTGCTTGAATTCGTCGGAGAACCGTGGTTGCTTGGAACCATCGGAGAATCATCATTTGTGGCTATTGGTGTCGGAGAACCGTTCCTGCTTGGAGCCATCGGAGAACCATTGTTTGCGGCGGCTATTGGTGGTGGTGTGCGTAGGGAGAAAATGTTCCAGTTAGAATGTTTTTCATTTTAGGGATAAAGGGCATATATGTAACTTAGCCTAAAAAAAGTCAAATCGGACAATAATTTTGGGACAATTTTTTTGGCAAACTGGACAATAATTTTGGGACGGAGGGAGTATTATTATACAAACGGCCTCAGGAGCTTCATCATATCGAACCGTGAGGGCTCTCAATTAAGTCATTTACATATCTGTCACTTATGCCGATCAACTACTCTCTGTTGATCAAACATGAAAAGAATCACTACTGTTTCACTATGAGTTTGTGTATGCTAATCTGCTACGAATACTAAACTCGGGGGCTGAATAAAAGAAGCCCTCCGGAGAACTCTAGTAAGTGATAGCCTCTACATACATGCTATGAACTGTACATGGCGAGGATGCTTCTTTTCCTCTTCAAATTACACAAGAATCTGAGACTTTGCAGCACCGCGGGAACATTTTTTACGTCCACTTTTGCTTAGTGCACAGACACATATTTCTAATAGTTCATAATCTTCTTCCCAGAATAACTGTGCAGCCATCTCAGGGTTTTCCAATAGCATTTTAGATGATAGGTATCCAGCAATAGTCCAGGTTTGATACATTCTCGCTTGCTTACCGACAAACTTGCCATACCTTGTGTCATAGTATTCAGGCCAGCGATCTGCAGGAAGCCTTTTCTCTGCCAAATCAACTGCCTTCTTGGCCAGATCCATCCTCCCCATTTTCATGCATGCCAGAGTAAACTGGAGGAACAACCAGAAAGGAAACACGTGAAAATCTAGATTCATAAAATGGACATTGCCCAAACAGTAGTACTAGATCAGAAGCCAAACATGAAAAAACATTCAGTCAAAAGACAGATGTGTCTCCAAATGTCATCAGTTAAGGAGCTCAGAATGAAGGAAAATTGTCCTGTGTCCAGAATTCTAAAGCGGAGTAATGTAACATGTGAAGCATGATCAACTAATCTCGCTCACTTCCGAAGAGCAATGTTTCATAATTTGCAAAAGGACCTTACATTACTATACTCATCTAAAAAAAAAAAAAAAGTTAAATCAAGTTTGATAAAACTAGAGATGCAAGATCTAAGCAATCACCAGATTAAAGAATAATACTGCAAATAAACCAGATAAGGAGAATCTAGAAACTAAACTATTGCATTAAACTCTTCCTTTCTCATGCTTCTTAATCACTCCAGCACAGCAAAAAAAAAATTTTTTAAAAGAAATAAAAGTTTTCATCCAAATACTATCCATTCTTTAACATAAGGATTTATTCTTTCATCCACAATGCCGAGTTCATAGATCTCATACACATCAAAATTACATACAAAACCACACTTAAGTTTTATGCTTATACTGCTAAGTTCAGATTTCCTAGTATAATAACTATGAGCCAGCAGAATGACATTACAATCTAGTCAAATAACCATACCTGCCATAGAAGTGTTGGCCAAGATCCACCATTGTGATAAGACCAAGGTCTGCAAACATCAATATCAACATAGTATCAGATCATGTCACCAAAGAAATGGAAGGCTCCACAAAATACAGAAAATGAAAGAACAAAATTTTAAAAAAAAACTCACGTATTCTTAGGATCACTCCCTGTGATTATGCGCCACTCTTCAAACTCTAAAGCAGGGTAACATATCTTCAAAGGCATGCTACCCACAAGATCATCCCATTTAGCTTCTATGAGATTAAGAATACCCTCATTTTGTTTTGGAGTCCCCAAAGAAGAAACAATCGACCATAGATTTCCAAGAGTGAAGAACCTGAAGTCCATATGAGCTGGTTGTAGATTTCCAATAAGATAACCACCATTTTCAGGAAACCAGTCCATCAACCAATGAGGTATTTGTTCAGGATAGATATTAAACTTATTAGTGGCTTCTGTTGAGTACTCCTCAGTCTTATATCTGTAGATCTCATTTATTTTCTTCATATCAACCCAATAATATTCTCTGATATGAAATGATAATGCACTGAGCCTATTATTTATGGCCCTGACTAGATTCTTGGATCCATCATCCACCTGAAGCATCTCACGGGAGCAACGAAGTGCAGAATAAAATAAGGCCTGCAGTATAAAAAAAATTGTCACACTTTGAATCAACCCACGAGATTAGATATATGCATGTAAGCATGCATCGCATATACTTATTATTATAGGGGGAAACTACTCCTGAAAAGAGCTACAACCTACTCATTGGAAAAACCCTCAAGACTCACAGGGAAAACCAAAGTATGCAAATGAGCCTAAGCATTTCTACTCCTGGAAACGCAAACAAGGATGAAGAAACCCTGGAAATTCACCAGGATAAAATTTAATTTAATACCAGACAAAAAGGTAAAGGTGGCACACCAGTATTTCAGCATCTCACAATTAAGGCAGAAATATTATGAGTTACGACCTATGATCTGCTGGCACCAGTATTCCAGGTTCACTATTTCGGCAAACAATTAGACCAGCATAGTCTGGTGAACAGAAAAAGTTACTTTTGATCTGCTCCTATTAACCTTCCCAAACAGACGACTGGTGCCAAAAGAAACAGTAACCATCTCTTCCAGTTCGATGTCTAGTTCAAGCATATTAGAAAGAGAAGGATAATAAACTTGCCTGAATCTCCAGAGGGTGACCATGGATTCCCATTCGTCGATCAATCATACATGAACCATCAGTGACGAGCAATGATGGAAACATATCAAAACCATCAGACAAACACAAGTTCAGAATCAGTTTTATGCCTGTTTGTACATCCACTCGTTCTTGTAATGCATAGTCACCAGTGAGCTTCCCATAAGCCCTCAGCAATATAATCCACCAAAGCCCTTAAGAAAAAAGTTGACAAACACAGATTTTCAACACTTATCAGACTTCCTGGTAGAAAAGTCAATGCAAATCAAACACCACTACGAACAAAATGCCACATAATCACAACAGAAGACAATCGAAATGTGGCACCCTTTACTACAGGAAAACACTTACCAGAGTCAACAGGTGCAACACGGCCAATAGCTGACTCCCCAAAATCTGGGTCTAATACTTCTTCGCACTTGTTCTCATCAATTGGCACAGTTCTTACTTTAAAACTTGCCGGCATCAAACCTTGCCCTGGGCTGTAACAGTCGACTGTTTTCTCCCAACTCTATAAGAAAGGTAAATGTTCAGAGACAGACATAAAACACATATATCAATGTAATCAGTCAAATTTTCAGATGCAGCAACAAAATTTCATGATCTTGGACATCAAATAATTAACTTGCACATTTAGCGTTCATTCTTTAAATGCCAAAACTCTAGTGACTCTAACGGGGAAAAGCCTCATCACATGCACAGTTGGCATAATAAATACTTTGATTTCTAAAGTTGCGCAGTCAGATATCAGATATACCCAAGGAATTGACTTAATCAAAACTACAACGTTGGACCTCATTTTAGCCTGGAGCAAGTACCTTAAACCATGATATAGACTAAAGGTTGAAAGAAAATTAAATTGTATTGCCTTAAATCTTGAAACATGATCTCCATTCTAATTTCAAACATTTACAAAAAGATTAGAAAGAAGCAACCATGCATCTTCAAAGACCACAATTTTGTAACTCTTTATTTGTAAGAAAACTGTGTGCGTATAAGACGATCGATAAAGAAAATGCTCGTCCAAATAAAAGGTCAGTTAATACCACATGTCTTTTACAACATTTTTGCACCCTTATAGCATGATTTTCAGATTAACAATTACCACAAACAAGATAGGTAAAATCATGTTCCACAATCTATAAAATAAAGACCCAAAAGTAACATCAACTACGTCTAGCAATCTAACACATACATGCGGAACTACAAAGGTTGATAGTTTACCTGCAATTGCAAGGTATGGAGGAGGAAGTTCCTGACGATTTCGCCATCTCCCTTGAGCAAAAATGCCAGGGCAGATGGAATAAAATCTCTAATAAACACTTGATCGTAATTGAGAGGCTGCTTATCATTGGGATCATTGGCAGCCAAAGTCCCAACAGGACTTCCACAATAGGAAACTATTGCATTTTCCAACAATCTCCAAGCTTCCTTTTCGACCTCAGATTCCACCCTAGGTGCAGGCTTCACCGGCTCTACAACATCCAATCTTTCCAAATTCTCATCAATTATCCTTTCTTCCTCATCAACGGCCTCAGTACTAACAATATTCTCATCAAGATCAATTTTCTCAACCACCAAAGGCTTCACATTAAGCCCACCTTGCACATAAATCCTCTCAAAATTCTTATCATTTACCCTGGTTTCAACCGATGTGGAATAACTCCTAACATCCGAGGCAACACTAGAAACCACATAAAGATCCCTTCTTTTCGGAACCTTACTACTGCAGAACAGTATGGATTGACCCCATGTTGAACCCGGGGCAGAAACCGGAACCTGGGTTTGTTTAAAAATGGTATGAAAATTCAATCTCCTATCTCTTGATGTGTGAAAACTACGGCAATTAAGGGGACTGAATCGCAGAGTCGTTGATGACGTTGTGGAAAAGGGTTGGAGGGATTTGGGTATAGGAAAACCTAAAAATGGCGAAATCCGGCGGGAAATTAGAACCCTACAACAGGGCTTGATTGCCATGGATTTGATTGATCTCATATCACAGCAAACTCGAAAAGAAATCAACTCTGTTTCCTCCGGTCCAAGAGATTTGGGTTGACGAGAGAGACCAGATTAACTAGGGGAACAGAAATTCAATACGTATGCGATGAAGAGTCGGCAAATTGATTATATTGTTCTTCGGAAAGTAAAAAAATCAGAGATAGATTGCAGGAAATTTTGATTAATATATATAGTTTTGTGGAAGGCGACGCAAATGGGAACGAGCCGGGTGGCTGCCGTTGCTTGAGGAAGCTTTTAGTCTTGGCTAAAAAGGCAAGGGCAAAATTCTTACACATGAATATATGTCAGAAATGCCCTTGGACTTTGTTCCAAGTTTATTACTTTTCTTTTCTCTTTTCTTTTTTTTTTTCTCACTTTCTTATTTTGGAATTTGAATATTTTGATCTGAGTTTTTTCCTTCTTCTTTTTTCCCCTTGTGGTAAATGGCTTTTGCTATTTGTGATTGGTCTTTTTTCTTCATTTATTTGATTCATTTTAGTCTTGGGGGATGGATTGAGTAAAAGAGCTTTATTTTTATTTTTAATTTCTTTTTACTATTTTGAGGTCTCCCACTTTTCCCTCTTCTATTAAAGTGTTCAGTGCATCATTGTCATTGTGAAAAGGGGGTTAGGATTTGGACAAAGCTTAGCCCTCAAATAAACCAATGTATAATTGCTTCCTTATCCACTCCAAAAAAATGCTTGGGAGACAATGTTTCTATGAGAGCTGACTAGTTATATTTCATCCTCTAGAGACTTTACAATATTTGGATAAAAATTTTGATCTGTAAACATTTTGTCTTTAGATAAGTTATTATGCCTTTTTTTATATCTTAACTCTTTAGTGTGTGCAATTTGACCACCATATTCTTTAATAATAATAAAAAAATAATCATTTTGAGAAGGATAAAAATCTCATTTTACATAAAAGTAGAAGAATAGAGGTGCATTAGATATTTGTTTCCCCAATAACCTAATCTCCTCGCACATGTGCGAAGGTTAGGAGTCTTATGGATTAGAAGAACAATTGCGTGGCAAGCCCCGTCCCGCGTAAACTTGGCTTCGTATTTCTGTTTCATAACCATGTGCACAGTTACGTTCTTGACCAAAATTAGGCAAATGACAATAAATTAAAAAAAAACACTAATATAATAAGAGTAGTTGTTATTCATCATAATACATATATATTCATCTCGTCTCAAAAATCATATTAAAAAAGTTATGTGTGCAAATATGACGAGCATTAATGTATGTTTCCAGACATCGATCCAAATCTTCTTGAAAAAAGTCTGACATAGAGAGTTAAACATATTGTAACGCGGAAGACATTATAATTGAATGATATACATAATTATCTTCTTTAACTAAAGATCAGATATTCGAAATTTATTGTAATCAAAGATACAAATCTAGAAAAAAAAAAAAACTTGTCAGTCTGGCCCTCATGGCTCATGCACCCACTTGTGGCAAACGAGATCATCATTACTTAAATCAAGTGGGAAAAAACGGACATTCCTAATAAAAATCCATAAAGAGCGAAAACTACTTCGAATTGATCCGTAGCCCCAAGTTTTTTCCTTCGTCATAGCCAGCCACGTTGGAAAGGAAAAGTGCACCAACCAAAATGCCGTATAGATTTTTCTGACTCTTATCCAAGAAATTGTAGGTAAATCATCTTGCCCCCAAAGAAACAAAAAAAAAAAAAAAGAGTGACTATTAGTATTATCCAACCGGACCAAACCCCATCATGATTTCAACATGGCCAATTTGTGTAACATCGAACCTTATTTATTGGACTAAGTAACAATTCATCCACAGCCATTAAAATTGGTAGGATGTAACCTAACATAACATAGAAGAGGACTTGTGTACGGACCAATTGAAATTGATTAACGAAGGTACCAATTGAAAAAACATGCAAAAAGTCCCCTTGATACTTCAATCGAAATGAGTTTGATATGATTTTATTGAAACATAAAGATCTCCCCAGAGAGTTCACACTATAGTATTATTAGTAGGATTTTGCATTTTGATCTTGGACAGACACTCTCTTTTACTTTAAATGGATTCAAAATTCTGTTAAACATTCAATACATGGTTTTCCTTAGAAAAATACTTATAGAAAAATAAACCATAGCGAATGAAAAGTTGGTTCGGTGGTAACACCACCCTTGCTCCAAGAGAAAGTCATGAGTTCAATCTTCACTCTTACTTTGCCTATTGGCACCTCTAGGGGCTTATTATAGTTAACCGACTAATGAATCCCCGATTTCGCACCTGAACTTGTCACTATGGACATGCCTAAGGTGGTTTACCTCCCACTGTAGTTTGCAAGCTGCAGGCTATTGCTGTGGGTGTGAGTTTACCTATCTCTGGTAGGGTTTCTGGCGTTATTAAAAAAAAAAAAAAACCATACGTACAATTGATAAGCATGCATCAGATTTTTTCCTTTTTTTTCTTTTTTTATTATTAGAGATTTTCCTCCAGACTATCTCAAGTTTACATATGCTTCCATTAGTATCAAGAATCTGATGCATCAAATCAGAGACGGTTGGCCAAGACTGGGCCAAACAGCATTATTTTTTTTTTCTTTCAAATATTGACTTTAGGCAATAACAATGGAAAGGAAATAGAAAGGGAGAAAATCAGCCCAAAAAAATTCCTAGTGTATGAAAAAAAAAAAAAAAAAAAAGAAGTAAACGGGACCAAATTGGGCTACGTTCACATGAACCAAAAATCGGTAATGAAAATAGGATAATAGAAGCTTGAACGATAAAGGCCTGCTCAAAACGGGGAATCAGTCCAAATGTTCCCACGGGCTATGGTTTAAAGGTTTCAACAATGCGAGATGGTTATAAAGAAAATCGGATTGATTCATATTTTAATTAATTTTTTTTTTGTGTTTATTTCTTTTTATGGTTAAACTAGATTTCTTCCTTCCCAAAATTAACGGTCATATTTGTATTTTCAGTTTTTAGTAGAATTTGAACTAGAAAAAAAAAATCCAAGTTGAACATTTATTTCAGGACGGAGGGGGTAAAATAGGACAAAAACAAGTAAAAAAAATTAATGAGATAAGTCTAAAAACAGTAGTTCCATCCTTAAGAAAATTAATGAGATGGTGAGCATAAGTGTAACCTGTATTTTCTTTTATTCCATCCATTATAAAATGATTATCTCATTTGTTATATTTTAGTTTTATTTTAACACAACAAATAGAATCATCTGTTTTTTTTTTCTAATGAGCTTTGGTAAAAATTCTTACCTTATGTAACTAACTAATGATGTTTTGTTTAAAAATTGTACACATTATGTACGTCCTCCGTCTCATAATTATTGTCCAGTTTTACTAAAACGAAAGATTTAATTTTTGGTCAAACTTAACTATATTTTACCTTAAACAACCGGATATACCCCTACATAAGTAATTATTTAACCACTAAGATTTTATGGATAATGTTTTTTACTAAGGACAAATGTGTAACTTGATCCATAAAAAGTCAAATTGGATAATAATTTTGGGACAAAATTTTTTGGGCAAATTGGACAATAATTATGGGACGGAGGGAGTAGTTATTACTCAATCCCAAGTTGATTTTTTTTTTTCCGGGATAATAATCATAGGTTGATTCAATCATCTCCATCTGACTGTAATATTTTCTGGTTTTCTCAATTTTGTTTTTTTTTGTTTTTGTTATGGATTATTGTTTCAACAACATAGAACGCCCGTGAGAATTTGAGAAAGTAAGGTCAAAATCTTAAGGAGAAAGCAAGCAGAGGGTCTCTTCTACAATTACTAAATATTATCAGGGTTCTTTTACAAAATTGAATAAGTCGACCGAACCCAACAAAATACACAGAAACAGCTTCAATGTTATGGTAGAATCTGAAGAACAGAGAGTCCCCTCCAATTGACTTTAAATTTCTCGAGATGGATCTAAACCCTGTAAGTATTCACTACTTTTCGTGATTTTCCTTCTTTCACAATGCGATTTAATCACGAGATTCTTGCGTTGAGCTGCCTTTTAATGATCTCGGCACGCCTAATTCTGTTGAATATCGTACTTCTTTGCGCAATTTGTTTGTCGACTTTTGATGAGTGATTTAGTGTTGATATCCGTGAAATTGTTTGATTATTGTTGGTAATCATCTGCTCTCGCTCGTCGTGGATCTGTTGTCTGGAATTCGAGTGAGTTGAGGATGCTATTTCGCTTGAATCAGATTCGAATCTGGGCTATTAGGTTGTATATCTGTTGGGTGTAGTTTTGTATGATGGGATTTAGGAGCTGTTAAGTATCGTTCACAAATTGGAGGGATGTTTCCTTGGGGCTCTTTTAAGTGCCGACGAACTCTCAGAGACACATGTTCCCTGTGTTATTTATTTCTGTGAAAGGGGAGAATGGTTTATTGCTTTTTCAAGGTTTTGAGCACAGAAATCAGTTAAAATAACCTGTTTTCACTCGTGATTTATTACTGTTTTTCGTGTTACATTTTGTGAACAATGTAAGCTTTTTGCCTACTTATCTCTGTTGCAAATAAGATCATTCCGTTGGATGATAATCTTGGAGGCCGGGATGAATTCATAGAGATTTTCTTATTAGTGGGGCAGTTTGGAGAGAGTTGCAGTAGTTATTTGTTAGATGATTTAATTTCAACGAGGGGAGGAATGAGGCGTTAACCTTGCTACATTAGACATTCTGGATTGGAGGGTACGTACTGTTAGCACAAATCGTCATCCATTCGTAAAACAATGCTTTTGTGCACTCACAGTCTATGCCTAGTTACAATCAGTCACTGGGAGACAGTTATTTTGTTTTTGTGTTACACGAGTAATGTGATAAAGAATTTGGTATAAATCTTAAGTTATCTTCTGGTGACTGAATATTGTGAACATTTTTGGGATCCCAACGTTTTATCTGGAATTTCCTACGTAAAATTGTTCAAAGGCTGGAGATGCCTTTCGTTCTCTTTTGTTGGTTGATATCAATCAGAGATAACTCGGGGTATTCAATTGTATCTTTTATGCATCTGGTTTTGTTCATTTCCTCTATAGGAAAATGGCTGATCCCTTCTGAATGTAGTAGAATGGAAATTTTTTAAACTTGAATAACTAAGAAGTCCCTGGTACTCATAGTTGTCCCCTTATGTACCTGAACGATTGTAAGGATATCATAAAATAAATAACTGTCTTTTGCAAAAACTTCAATGCAACACCAACTAGGCCTTATCATGTTATGAAGGCATTGTGTTCCATCAAAGCACATGTTCTTGTTTATGTTCTCGTATGTATGTCTTCGTTTATAGTTATTTTTTAACTAATTCTAGGTACTTCCTTCCCCTTATCCTTTTAACTTGATTTAATCTCTCTTTTCGGCATGTTGTTCTGAGGCATCTAGAGGTTTTCTATGCAGATATCAAGTTAACTTAAGCGTGTTACTCTCAGTTTCTCATCTTCTCAAGCATTCATCGCTTACTTTCTTTAGTCTTCTGTGTGCGCACATGCTTATGTACAAAACACTTCATCTGACATTTATATCTCTTTGGTCAGCCTGCAGGGGAGAGTTATGCACACCCAAGAATTTGCTTTTTCCACGTCCTCTTCAAGGTTCAAAACATATACTTACTGATGATTCATTTTTTTTTTTTGTTCTTTATGGGACAATGATACGAGTTTCAGTGCTTTAATTTCGTGTGGCAGGCTGCAGCTTTGGCATTTTACATCCTTTCAGCTTTATTTGTTGACAGTTTTGTCATCATTTTCGTGGTCACTGTACTTCTTGCTGCTTTGGATTTTTGGGTGGTCAAGAATGTGAGTGGAAGAATTCTAGTGGGTTTAAGGTGGTGGAACGAAATCAATGATGAGGGCGAAAGTGTATGGAAATTTGAGTGCCTTGACCAGGAGGTGGGTCTTGATAATTCGACATTTTGGATTTTATACATATCTAGTTGCAGATGCATCAGATCTTTTACTCATTTATATCGTACTAAGTTGCTTGGATGCAAACTAATTTGCTTGGTTGTTTGCATCTTGTAGTCAATGGCCCGGATCAACCAGAAGGATTCATGGCTCTTCTGGTGGACACTGTATCTTACTGTAAGAAAAATTCTTCTACACCTACTCTCTTCAACATCTTCTTTGGACTAACAAAATTTGTTTTCGCGCTAGATTTCTTTTTGCTTCTTGCCTTTTCTCCCCTTTTGTTTTCTTCTTTTGGGGGTTAAGATTGTGGAGTGAAGTGCTTTATGAATGACAATTGTGACTGTAAACAATTTATTATTTAATTATTCTAAGAAAGACCAAATGCATTAGAATGTCATCTGTTGCAAGTGACATTTTCTGCAATAGAACAGAATATGGGGCAGCCTTATATTGATCAGTTAACTGGGATTATCAATAACTGTATATTATTTATTTATTGCAGGCTGTTGCTTGGATCTTCTTTGGCATATTCTCCCTCATAAGATTTCAAGCAGATTATCTTCTTGTTGTTGGAGTATGTTTGACGCTCAGTATTGCAAATATTGTTGGCTTCACTAGATGCCGTAAAGGTATGTAGACGAAATTACAATTTTACATTCTTCTCATGAATTTGCTTTGTGAGCTTTTATGGGTTAGCATTTTGGTAGTTTGTCACCTTTTCTCCCACATCATCATAGTAAGATATGGTGGTGCTTTACACTTCAGTTAACTGGAAGATTTTTCCTTAACCATCAGTGACGTCGTCATTAGACAAGAGTAATGGAGATTCTAAACTTTTAGTGTGTTTGGTGCATAGTCTTGTAGTATGTACAAACACTACAAAAGTCATGGATAAGGAGCTTTTCATTGGGCCCACTTTCAGCAGTTAATAAGAAACAGCTGTCAGCTGAAACTGCATGTTCACTTATTCAGTTATTCTATCTAATAGGAACAAAAGTGCTATAATCAATTTACTTGTTTAGACCCTATCAATCTAACAAAACATCTTCAATTGTGTTCTCGACTGCGGAAATTGAGTGCTACAAGTGTTTGAGCCTGAGAATTCTCGTAGAACTTAGATCTATGATGTTGTTGTCCTTCCACTGGGTGATGAATGTGTGGTTATTGAGTTTCTCGTCTCTTGTATTGTATGAATGTGCTTGTCTCTTGAACAATAGTGGGCAATAATAATACACCTTTTTACAAAATAAAAAATCTATAAGTCAATGTGACTTCCAAGTGTCGGGCACAAAAGTAAATGTGCTCCTGTTACAGCCCAGTTATATGGTATTCTGCACCTCTATTCTGTTTTGGTTAAGTTGATTCTGTTTGTAAGTCTTGATGTGCTCTAACAATATTCTAAGTGCTTTTTCCCCTCTCAATATTCTTCCTTTTGCACAACATTTCATGTTTAATATTCTGCCGATGCATAAGATATATGCTAGATTCAGTTTGCTGTATTAAACCATGTCGAAATGGGTAAAATTTTCTTTGCAGATGCCAAGAAGCAGCTTCAAGCATTCGCCACTCAGACCATTGCTTCTCGATTCACCTCCACAATTCAGTCTGCATTCAGCGTTGTGTGAACTTACCAAACCAGATAAATAGAAAAACCACTGTACCTGAGCAACCTCAAGAATTATAAGATGCCACCATACTGCTTCACTGTACTGATTGATCTCTTTCTATACTTTTGATCCGTAGTACATCAGTGTCGTTACAGGAATCAAGATGTTGATCTATTTTGTCTAAAAAGGAGTCTTAGATGAAAGTTTTTGTAAATTTGGACGGTGATGTTCTTTTATTCAATTGGCAATGGACAGATTTTCAGATATTTTACCAATGGTTCCTGTTATTTTGAGAGCAATTTATTTGTTGAGCCATATTCAATTCTGGTCCCTCGTGGTGATGTTGAAAAATGACTCCTGTTTTGTTGTGATATTGGTAAAATCGCTATAGATAATTTTTTTTTTCAGTAAAAAACATGATGAATAGATAAATAGAAAAATAATATTCAATGAATTGTTCCAAACATTTTCTTTCTTTTGCGGATGTTCCAAACCTCAGAAGAAAGTCATTGAAACACCCCGTTAATCATCTAAATAATTGACAGAATTTCTTCTTATCTAAATAATTTTGGTGGAAGATAACACGTCCAAAAAATTTCTAAACACGTCCAAAACTATTATCTAATTAATTTTGGACGTGTTATTGTAATCACTTTTTTTCTTCTTTTTTTTGTGTGTTTTTGTTATTTTTTAAAAATTTAAAAACTAAAAATAAAAAAGCCGCAAAAACATAAGTGAAACTTTTGAGCATATTGAAAATATTGGGGATTATTTCTGGAGTTATGTTTAAGTTCGGGGGTTGATCTAGTAATTTTACTAGCTGGCCAAAATATGAAAGGGAGACAGAATTACAGGATTTACAGTACCGGAATCAAACAGAGTGGAGAAGAAAGAGAACTGAATCAAACAATTACGCAAAGAGTGAAAACACCACAGTAACAAAAGAGAAGCGGGGAAAAAACACCATGTTGCAGTGTATATTTCTTCTTTCAGATTCCGGGTATGTTTCTAAACTTTTTGATTCATAGTCACATCGACTAGTTCTTCAAATTTTGCGTTCTGGGCATTTATATTTGTTGTTTTTACTGTTCGTTCAGAATCCCACCTAAGTTACGCCAATGGGTTTTATTTCCTTGTCTAACAAATCAAGAAAAATACGAGCGTCCTTTAGTATATGAAGCTAAATTTAGTTTAAATTAAGTATTGAATTTGGACTCTTTGAAGGGTATATGTACAATGATGTGTCATTGGCATAAATGTATGTGATTCAGGGAGGTGATGCTGGAGAAGCAGCTTACTGGCCACAGGGTTGATCGTTCCATCTGTGCTTGGTTTTGGGAACAGATAATTTCTCAAGGCGATTCTTTTAAGGTATCCATCCACTCCCTTTTTTATTTTGTGTGTCGATTATAATTGGTGGTACTGAGTGATCTCATTTTGAACTTAATGGATATAAGGGTATATTTCGTAATATCTGTTAAGGTGGTACGAAACTTGAACGTTGTTTGCATTTTAATGTTAAAGATCTTATTAAGGTCTTCTCTTGATATTTTGTCTCCTTGGATATATTAGTTTATGCCCGTAATCGCCTCACCAACGCATTACCTGTTCCAAGTTGTTCGCGATGGTATCACATTCTTGGCTTGTACACAAGTTGAAATGCCTCCTTTGATGGCAACTGAGGTAACGTCGAGGAAACTTTGGTTATTGTCTTAACTATATGTGAGTTGGTTGTGGTCTATTCCTCAGTCGCTCAGCTTGATCTGCATGTCTGCGTAGCATCTTTTTTCAGCCTACAAATAATTTACACAGATGGTCTGCCTTTTGGGATCATTTTGTTGTCCGTGTTCTTTGGTTTGAATGCTGAAAGTAGTCGGAGATCTTAAAATTTATGCCCTTTGACAATTTAATTTCTAGTTCCTTTGCAGAGTTGCTGATGTACTCTCAGATTATCTAGGAGGTCTGAATGAAGACATGATAAAAGACAATTTCGTGATTGTCTACGAGGTATTCAATTTCCCGTCCTTTTCTTCTGCTTATTTTGGTCTGCTTTCCACATGAGTCATCCTTTTAAGGTACTTCCAGTATTCTTAATCAAGAGATGGGAGTTTGGAGTTGGTTGTATGGTTTATAGGGCAGAGTTTTGGATTGCAACAAAAGGAAGCAGTTTTGTAGTTCTTTATCTTTCAGTTATATGTACAATTTTCCTAAGCACCATTTTTGAGAGTTGGATAGGTTACCGGATAATGCAGATATGCAACAGTAGAACGCTCAAAATGATTGATTTTACATATGTTGAAATTTCTAGATTTTTTGAAAAAGACAACATTGAGCTCCCCAGTTCCAGCTGACTTAGCCTGGTTGTCTCTTAGGGAAGCCATCCATGTAATATGACCATCTAGTTTTTTCATTTTAATATTGCGTTGTTCGATATGCTATTCACTCGATGCTTCTCTTGGATTACGTTAGCAATCTTATGGGAGTCCTTCCTTTCACTTTTTGCTCAACAGTATTATGCCTTTATGATGACTAACAATGGTTTTCTCTCGGATTACCTTTGCAAAATTATGGGAGTCCTTCCTTTCACATTTTACTGACAACGGTTATCTCTTGGATTATCTTTGCAAACTTATTGGAGTCCTTGTCACATTTTACTCAACAATATTCATTATTTGCAACTTGCAGCTCCTGGATGAGATGATCGACAACGGTTTTCCTCTTACGACAGAACCTAATATCTTGAGAGAGATGATAGCGCCTCCAAATATTGTCAGCAAAATGTTGAGTGTTGTGACCGGTAGCACCTCAAATGTGAGCAACACTCTTCCAACAGCAACATCATCTTTTGTTCCTTGGAGGAATACGGACTCAAAAAGTTCAAGCAATGAAGTTTATGTTGGTCTTGTTGAAGAAATGGATGTAATCATAAACAGGTATTCAAAGGAATTTTCGTTTGCTTTAAATTTACAATGCTTATCGCTCTCTCTTGTTATTCATCCATCTTTGTGGTCTGTTTATAAGACTCTAAAAACTTGGAAAAAGAAATACAAGCATTGTGTGGAGGTAATATGGAGGTCTTAAAAGTGCGATGGTCGTATAAATGTCAATTCATCGAAGTTCTTATAGTGGTGAATTTGCAGTTTTTTTTTTTTTTTTTTGGTCGGCAATCTGTTGAAAGTGAAATAAATCTAGAGCGTTGGCGAAATTCTCTAGAAATCATCCAGAGGATATGAGTCCACACTTCCTTTGTTAAAGAAAGATTTAGTTAGCATTGTCTATATGCTCAAAGATCATGCTTTTGTAATTTCATTAGTTGCCTTCCTTGTAATAGCCAATGTCAGTATTTTCCCCTTTGGTTGTCTAAGTTGCTAATATATATATTTCATTTCTCTAGATTTTCATGCAAGTGGCTTGTATCTGGATTGCTATCATATAAATGTTCCTGGCTTTTTAATGAATACGTATTTGTTGCAAATTAATTCCACGGTGACTCTGGGAGTTCAAACTCCATTTTGAAATTCACTTGTCATATTAATTAGGATGTATTCTTTTTATGAATTTTCCATCCTTTTTCTTTCTTTTTCGGTCTTCTTTACATTCTCTTTACTTGTGCTGCTAGGGAAGGAAATCTGGTGAAATGTGAAATTTACGGGGAAGTTGAAGTCAATGCTCATCTTTCAGGTCTTCCTGATCTTACCCTTTCATTTGCAAATGCTTCCATCTTAAATGATGTGAGATTTCATCCTTGTGTCCGGCTTCGTCCATGGGAATCTGAGCAGATTTTGTCCTTTGTCCCCCCTGATGGACAATTTAAGTTGATGAGTTACAGGTCCGTTTTTGTTGAATATTTGCCAGATGATCCTCTGAAATTGATTCGAATTTTTATCAATATTTTTGCTGCAGTTATTTTGCTTTGATTTTGATGATAGAAATAAGTGATACTTGTGAAATTGCCATCCAACAAGTAGCTTTTGTGCCAGTTATGTTTTCTTTCTGTGCAAACAGGTTGCCATTAGTCTTTTCGCTGGGAAACCACACGCATAACAGTGCATGAATGAAAGAAAGGAGAGGAAAATATTGGTTTCCTAGTGCATGTGGATTAGAAAAATAATTGTTGACTTGCCTCTTCGACTTACAGTTTAAGTGATTTTCACTGAGATACATGGAATGCTTTTGCTGACTTTTTTTTTTTTTTTTTTTGGGAAAGTTTGCTGACTTTGTTATATCACAGAATAGGCTGATGTTCTTTTGTGAAATTGACAGGGTTAAGAACTTGAAGAATACTCCAATATATGTGAAGCCACAGTTGAGCTCAGACTCTGGAACATGTCGTTTAAGTGTTATGGTTGGAATAAAAGCGGATCCTAAGAAACCTATCGACTCGATAACAGTGGACTTTCAACTCCCTCCTGGTGTTATATCAGCTAATCTGACAGCAAATTATGGAACCGTGAACATACTTGCTGACAAGGTAATAACTGTACTCACTTGTTCATTGTCCTTCTAAGTTTGGCTAAGAGCTGTGTTTCAACTTCTACAAATATCTTGTTATTATTATTGTCATCGAATGTTCATCTCAAAAAATCCGGTGGCTGCATGAGATACAACTGTTAAAGAAATGGTTGTTGCACTCATTGGTGGATAAACTACTATCTGGTGCTGTAATTGACTACATGATTTCAATATCGTCCACATTCAAAATCTTGATTAACAAGTATATTTTGGCTTTCATATTGCGCTTTTGTGAATCACGTTGGGTATACAATGCAATGACAATTTTCCTCATGTTATCTGCTGATTAAGAACTATTCTGGAGTCTCTTCATGAGAATTGGGCTTTAGACTCATGTGGATATATACTGCATTTTTAGTTTGATTATTGACAGCTCATGTTGATTTATGCAGACTTGTTCTTGGTCCATTGGAAGAATGCCGAAAGATAAAGCTCCTTCCATGTCTGGTACCTTGGCACTTGAGGCTGGTATAGAGCGTCTTCATGTTTTCCCGTCTTTTAAAGTGGGATTCAGAATTATGGGTGTTGCTCTGTCTGGATTAAAAATAGATAAACTGGATCTAAAAAATGTACCACAACGTCCCTATAAAGGATTTCGCGCCCTAACGAAGGCAGGAGAATATGAAATAAGGTCATAATCTAAACTAAACTCTTGCGCTACTACTGTTTCTACCAACCTGAAGGCTGAAAGTGTAGTAAATTTTTGCACAGTTTGTGTTTTGGTTGTCTGTATGTAGAGTGCTCACCTTTCCATTTCTCTTTAACTTAATTGATCATTGATAGCATACTGTAATTCATGAATTTGAATTGACATCATGATCAAAAAGGAGAATATTATTTATCTCGAAAAATGAATCTGGAGAGTTGATTCGGATCTGGATGGAAAATTTAGTAGGTTAAGTTGGAAACCCATGTTACAAAAGCAAGTTTTCCTGCATCATACAAAGAAGCAGGAGAAAAAAAATCAGGGAAATTCCAATTTAAGCTGCCACCTTCTTTACTCTAAAGGAATCCATGACTGCTTTGATTTCATTTTCCTCTTCAGCAAAAACTCTTTCTGGTGTTTGTAACCTTAGTTCATATAGCTGGTTGTTTTCAACTCCAAGAACTGAGAGATAACGGCGATCCCATTCTAGACTGGCTATCCTCTCCTGCGGCATAACTGCTAATTGATTGTTGTTTGCGTACGATTTTATGTTCACCTGTGAAATGGTAAAAACTAAAGGATTGAGTACAAAACACAAATTCTGCAATACAGTGAAGCATTTTGCAGTGATGACTCTCAAAAAACGACCAAATCTACCATCAGGCCACCAGTTCTTTCACTATTAACTATTGTCCAGTTATATTGCTTAGCTCATCACTTCTGGTGTTGTACCCTTCATTTGAATACACTTCAAGTATCTTTCTATGGAATTTGACTATCAACCGGCTGTGTTGATATGAAGATTTCTAGCAGAACATTATTTCAGCTATCAATAAACTTCCCGATCTCTTGAACTAGATTATGATAGCGGCACGGGTTGGATGTGACCTTTTGAACTAGGTTTCTCATATGTTCTTAATTTTGCTGTACGAGAAAGCCATGGAAACAATGGAACAAGAAATTCTCAAGCAGTTTCGTATAGTAACACCAAGGTGGAAGACAATTTCAGCTTGAAGACCTGACCTGAACATCGTAGTACAATTTCCCATCATCCGCAACTCTTGAAGTGGTGGATAGGATGCTTGATTCACGTCTGACACCGAGTCTAGTGGACATAAACTCGGTCAAGTATTGCTTCAGCACTTTGTTTCCAGCTTCTTGTGGTGAGCCAAGATCTTCAACACTCTTGTACCTGGAAGATGATGGAGATGATATCTCCACCGACAGGTTTTCATCAAGAACAAAAGGGTCCCTGAAGAACACGTCTGCGCCTGCACCACGGACCTGGATCCAGTTCTGCGGGTACTTGAATGAATAGCCATCAAACGTATCAATGTATTCCTTGAACCCGACAGATTGAGCAAACGCGGCATCCTGCGTATCTGCTCGAAAGATGACGAAACTCGACAAGATTAAGGTCATTGCATCTCTTCTTCGAACTGCAAAATCTTTACTCTGGTTATATATAAGAAATACCTCAGTGAGAAACTACATAAGCACAGTTCTCGTCATTTATACAGCGTGATATGCTTCAAAAACCAAAAGGGAAAAATGCTAGTATCCTGGTGCACTGACCATTTCTCAAACAGGGCATCACATTATTATTAAGATTACGATCAGGACTTTTTCCCTTTCAAATGAACCTTTGTCCTATGAGAAATTGAGGCCAAACAATAGCCCAAATTGAAGCTGTCATCCCACGTTTTCATCTTTAAAGGTGAAATTACAAACAATCAAACATATCCATAACTTCAGCCAGCAAACGAATATCAGAAAGCCGAAACTTTGCTCAAAACTCTATTCCCATACCCATCAAGTTGATAGGAAATGATCATTTGATTCCATGATTAGAAATGATAAGCAATGTATTACTTGAGAAATCCCAAAAAGAAAAAGAAATAAAAAAAGAGGGAGCTTTTTAGGACTTACAGGCTGCGGTTTGCAAGAAAGAGAAACGCAGCGTCCCTTTCTACTCCTACAGAGCGGCCCAACTGAAATTGCAAACCGACTCGAGGGCCTCTCAAGAAAGTCGAGCTTATCAAACTTAGTTGAGAATCTGGGCGCTATCCCTCCAACGAAGCTGGTCATCTTGTGCTGTTTTATATGAATCTAAAAGTCAGGATTTTGATGGGTTTTTGGTGTTGTTTAAGGAACCATGCTTGGTGATGCGAGAAGTAGGAATGGAAAAGGATAGGGGTAAGTTCGATTATGTTAAAAGAGAAAAATCAAAAATAAATTATTACCAGAATTTGGTTTGGGGCTCCTTTGTTCAAGGTTGATATGTGATTTGTGATTGGGGGCAGTAATACAAGAATATGTGGATATTACCAAAGCAGAAATTTTGTTTGGGTTAGCCAATAAAAAAAAAAAAGAAGAATGGATTAAAGTTTTGTGGGGTCATTTGTCTTATCCCAATTGTAAGAAGGAGAGAAACTGAAACCAATGAAGCAGAAATATGAAATGATGGGCAGCAACAGCCACACCCTCCAAAAAGTTTTGAACTTGAAACCAAGTCCATTAATTTCTGAGGAGGACTTGGGTTGGGGACTTGTGGGTTTTGCAGCTCTACCTGACAATCAGCATGGCGACTATGGTGGTGGTGCAGCCTAAGCAACCATCTTTTTCTGTTCTGCAATCATCTGTTTCTGACTTCAACGGTGTCAAATTAGCACCCTCAGTTCAGGTATATTGCATTAGCTCCATATCATGAGTAGTATCTTAACTGGACTATTGTATTGGCAGTTCAGCTTTACTTATAGCTGCATTATGGATGTATGAATTAGGAACTTGTTCTCAGTTGGTTTCCCTGAGACAGATGATGATTAACTCTCCATTTGCATGTATGTATGTGCATAGTTTAGCCGCTTTTTCGGCAGTTGTTTAGATGCATGTTTGATAGGTTTAGAGTGAAATAAGAAGAGAATGTTTAATTGAGTTGACCCTGAACGAGTGGACTTTCAATATTGATTCTCTTTTATCATAGGGAAAAAAGTTCTGTAGCTGCAACACTGATGTCTTGGACATTGGAGTTTCAGAAAGTAAAAAGCTTTACCTTATTGAAGTAATGAATCTATCCATGCACAGAACACAAGAACCTCACATATGAAACGTATCAAGACTTGCACCACTCAAAAACTTATGCAGGGCTTGTCTACTGATACCTGTGGATTTCCTGTAATCTGTGTTTAGTAGGAATCCATCCAACGGTTAAGGACTTGTGGCCTTGTTTTTGTATAGTCCATGTAAAATTGATGATCTTCTACTAGTAAGTAGGGATGCAACTAGGGATGATCTTCTCTTTTATTTTTTGTTACGCCAGAAATCTAAATGATTCTCTCTCTTTTGGTTCTAGTATAAAAGGAAGGTATGGCAGCCAAGAGGAGCTCTGAAGATTTCAGCATCAGCTGCAAAGAAAATTCTCGTCATGGGTGGAACCAGATTTATTGGTATCTTTTTGTCCAGACTTCTTGTGAAAGAAGGCCATCAGGTTAACCACAATTTTTTTTGTTCTTCACGATTCGCATCTTTTGAAAGTGGTCTTGTCTTCTGATACCCTATACGAGGCTTATGAACTTGGTAAAAAATCATGAATGCAGGTAACTCTGTTCACCAGAGGGAAGGCACCTATCAGTCAGCAATTGCCTGGAGAGTCAGATGCAGATTATGCAGAATTTTCCTCCAAGGTCATACTCGTATCTAACTTGGTTAAGAGCTGCAGATAGAAGTTTGGCTCGCTTGGATTTCATGCTTTTTAGTAGTGATGCTGTACTTGGACTATTTCCATTTGTTGTGTGGCTGACCTTAGCTTTCTGGTACAGATACTGCACTTGAAGGGAGACAGACAAGATTTTGACTTCGTGAAGAGCAGTCTTGCAGCTGAAGGCTTTGATGTAGTCTATGATATTAATGGTATGTATCCTCTAGACTTGCCTCTTACACAAAAGTGATAAGTAATACTGCAAAGCATTTCAAGTTTCAACCAATGGCCCAAGGGTACAACAGAAGCTTCCCTTCTGTATATGACTCAGTTCTATGCTTCCCATTCTATCAATTCTCAGGTCGTGAAGCAGTTGAAGTAGAGCCCATATTGGACGCCTTACCTAATCTTGAACAGTAAGTCGTAAGCCAAATCTTCCTGATTCCATTACTTTGTCTTCATTATTATGGATATTCACTTAACAATCTTCCTGTTTGATAATCAAGTTGTGGATAACTTGTTTCAGTTATGTAATCCTGTTTTGGTACTTTCTTTGAATTTTTACATTCTATCAGCATAAGATGATTGGTCACCGTAGAGTGTTTTAGGTAAGATACAAAAATTGAAGAAAGTACATAAGAAGCTAAGTTCACAACTAGATCGATATTTCTGCTGTACTTTGGCACTTGGGCATGTTTAGGATGAAGTAATGATGTAAAAGTTGACCCAATGACTATTTCCAGAAATACCGTATTATCTTCTTTAATGTATTAGCAAGATGGCAAGTTGGCAACTATTTTTAATGGCTGCAACTGTACAGATTTGATAGCGAAATGTTGAATAACTGGCTGTTTCTAATGCTTGTGTCATTTTTTTTATACATTTATTCTGGTTGCTTGACTAATGCTTTCGTTTTGTTTAGAGTTTTCAGATGAGCAACATTTCTTATCCAATGTTTTTCTTTTTTCTTTTATTTTCTTTTTGGTGATCGCCTCAAATCTCATGCAGGTACATATACTGCTCTTCAGCTGGTGTTTACCTCAAAACTGATTATCCCCCACACTTCGAGGTTAAGATTAACACTCTGGAAATTACTTTATTACCACACCATATGTTCTGTATCTTAATCAGTATCATCTTTTACATCATTGAGTCTTTGGTCATCCTTTTACTTGCATTTAAGAGGGAACAAGCAGTAATGCTGCAATAAGTATTACATTTATGTACCAAAAATGCTTGTGCTGTCTTTGTATGGTTGTAATTCAACTATCCCTGACATCCATTGTGACTTTGTGCTCTAATATTTAGGTTGATGCAGTTGATCCGAAGAGTAGGCACAAGGGAAAACTTGAAACTGAGAGCTTATTAGATGCACGTGGTGTTAATTGGACTTCCTTGAGGCCAGTCTACATCTATGGACCATTGAACTACAACCCTGTTGAAGAGTGGTTCTTCCACAGGCTGAAAGCTGGTCGTCCAATCCCAATTCCCACCCCCGGACTGCAAATAACACAACTTGGTCATGTTAAGGTTAGCAAAACAGACTAAACAACTTTAGAGAGACAAAATTGAGCTGGAAAAGTAAAGACTTTTCAGTTCTTTTAAGGTTTAGAATGAATTTGAATGAAGATGCAAGCAAGTTTCTGCTACTCTGGAAGAATTTGTAAAATTTTGCTACTATTCTGCTATTCACTAAAACAGATTCTTATGCTGTTCACTTGCATCTTCTTTCAGGATCTCGCAAAGGCTTTTGTTCTGGTTCTTGGCAATGAGAAGGCAAGCCGGGAAGTATTTAACATATCTGGCGAGAAATATGTTACCTTTGACGGATTAGCTAAAGCATGCGCGAAGGTATGCATTTGATCAAAATATGCCTTTGATTTTTCACTTTGAGAGGAAGGGAGGAAACAGTAGGTCATTTGATTCGGCGAGATACTTAGCTATGTTTTCCAAAACAATTCCATAACCACCTTTCTGAACTGTTTTCTCAACAGGCTGGCGGATTCCCTGAGCCTGAGATCATTCACTACAAGCCCAAAGATTACGATTTTGGTAAAAAGAAAGCATTCCCATTCCGTGATCAGGTAACATAATTGGACTTCCTGATGTTTTACGATATCACCTGTAGAAAGCTACAATCTGATGGGATTTTGGCCAAAACACGCAAATCCATGTTTAAACTCAAATATGTCATAATCCTGGAAGACAAGATAGGACCCTGAACAAAGCTAATGTGTTGTCTTTTCTATGCAAAAATTGCAGCACTTCTTTGCATCAGTCGAGAAAGCGAAGAGTGTGCTCGGGTGGAAACCAGAATTTGATCTGGTGGAAGGTCTCACAGACTCATACAACTTGGACTTTGGCAGGGGAACATTTAGGAAAGCTGCAGATTTCTCCACTGACGACATCATCCTTGGCAAAAGTCTCGTGTCTGTTTGATAAAAATATTAATGATGGATGCTGAAACGGAAATACTGAATTTATCAAACAAACAAGAAATAGTTTTAAGCATGAAGAGGTGTTATCAAACAAGTCCCTGTATCTTATCTCTGAGTTAATATGTGAATTAGAGCTGGCTTTTCATAGGTTTTCAACTTTTCATTGAGAAACTCTGCAACTGTTTTGTGTTTTCTTACTTTTAGCCAATTAAGTTTCATCCTCCAAAGTGTTTTTCCTGTTAATTTTCTTTCCCTTATTCTTCGATAAGAATAACTCCACTATAGTGGTGATCTACTGATGATGAACAAGACATCGTTTCCGGATTTGGGTCTTTGTGGAGAGTGAAAAAGGAAGTAGATATTTAAAACATTACAGCAATGAATAGAGAGAAAGTGAATGTAAAACTAAAGAGGAAGAATTTCGTACTCCTCTGTTTCAGTGGTTGGCAAAAATGTGCACACAAATAAACCTCCATTCTTCGGGAAACTATGAATAATTTGGACATTCATAACAACACTCTTTCTATTAAAAAAAAAAAAAGTTTAATTTGTGGTATTTTAATCTATACAATAGTTTAATTTATTTTATTTTTTTAAATCGTTTGAAATAATATCAATTTGAGAAATCAGCCACAAACACTAATAAAATGTCGGTCAAAGCATCACTCTTGCACGTGAATCGGGATGATATATTTCGATCTTTCAATTTATAGTAATTGATCATCTTATGTGTAAGCTACCAAGCTCACATATTTTTCATTTCCATGCATCAGACTCATTTAGAAAAAACACTCTTTTAAAATTGATAAATTATATAATGGTTCAAACCGTTTGGCTTTCATCTTTATGAAAAACTACACGAAGATACTTTTAAGGAAAGCCAAATCAAAGTACAATCTCATTGTTCCGGTTCTGCCTGATGTCCCTGAAGATCATCGTTCGTACCCAATTGATGTACTCCCTCTGTCTCAAAATTATTGTCCACTTTGAGTTTTCATTTTTAGTTCAATTTGTACTAAAAATGAAAACCCAAACTGGACAATAATTATGGGACGGAGGGAGTATAAAACATTTCGATATTCATGACTTAATTTGCGCATACCAATTCATTTTCTGTTTCACTTGATATTTATTTTATTTTATTTTCAATATTTGGGGTTTATTTAATTTAATTTTGCAATTTGTGGAGTATAGTAAGATATTATATTTGGACGTGGACGTGCAAGTGTTTGACAATATCCACCACTTGTTCAACTTGTCGAAATTTTTTTTTTTTTTTTTTTATAATGAGAGTTTGAATTATGATCACAAAACCATTGATGATACTGAAGTTGAAGTTTACGAATTGATGGCTCTTCTTTCTAATCAAACTTGCATTTGCATTGTCACAACAAGTCCAGCTTAACTAGTTTACTAGTTTACTGGTAGTATATAGTTAAAATTGATATTGTAGTTCAAACATTTGCTCTGATTATTGATTTAGTTCAAACATTTCTTTTAGTTGTCGATTTCATCTAAAGGTATGATTTTTGTTGTCGATTTAGTCTTTTGGACAAAAAAACCCCCTCAAAATAACAGGAATTAGGCCTAAAAATTTAGTAATTTTTTAAAAATGCCCCTTATGGTATGAAAATTTATAAAAAAAGTATTTTATTTTAAGATTTTTTTTGTCCATTGTTTTTCTTTAGAGTGAACCTCAAAACAAGTCATCAATCTTTAATATATTTTCACTCTAGATCGTCAATTAAATTTATTTGTATCACAGATTACCTTACTAAAGTTTTAATCCATTTCAGATCATTCTGTTAATTTTGGCCGTTAAATAGTGACGAAAATCCATTTTTCACATGTTTTTGGATTCAGGGGTATTTTTGTCATTTTATTATTATTTTTTTAATTTTTTAAATTTTAATTCAGGGGTATTTTTTTGTTTTTGTAAATTTTTATTTTTTTATTTTTACAATTCTTCTTCTTATACTTCCTAACTTGTATACACTGGTAGTACAATTCTAAATTTTAAAAATTTATTTTCCTTTTGTATTTTAACTTCTAGATTATAAAAATCTTTTTTAAAAAAAAATTTAAGAAATGAAGAAGAAAAATTTGAGTTAAAGTAAATATGAAAATTAATAATTTAACATTTTAAATAAAAACAAAAACTAAAAGAATTAGTTAAGACAAGTTATTTCTTCTAGGTTATTTAATTTTTTTCAACTCGATTGAATTATTTAATTATTAATTTTCACGTTTCTTATTCCCTTTTTTGTAATCTAGAAGTTAAGATACAAATGAAAAATAAATTCGTTTTTGAAAATTAATTTTTTATTTGTATATTAACTTGTAGATTATTAAAAAAAAAAAGAATAAGAAACGTGAAAATTAATAATTAAATAATTCAATCAAGTTGAAAAAAATTAAATAATCTAGAAAAAACAACTTGTCTTAGCTAATTATTTTAATTTTTATTTTTTAAAAAAATAGTAAATTATTTATTTTCATGTTTACTTTAACTCGAATTTTTCTTCTTCATTTCTCAATTTTTTTAAAAAAAAATTTATAATCTAGAAGTTAAAATACAAAAGGAAAATAAATTTTTTAAATTTAGAATTATACTACCAGTGTATAGAAGTTAGGAAGTATAAGAAGAAGAATTGTAAAAAAAAAATTAAAAAGATTAAAAAATACAAATAAAATAATAAAATGACAAAAATACCCCTGAACCCAAAAGCATGTAAAAAATGGATTTCCGTACTATTTAACGGCCAAAATTAACAGAATGATCTGAAATGGATTAAAACTTTAGTAAGGTAACCTGTGTTACAAATAAATTTAATTGATGACCTAGAGTGAAAATATATTAAAGGTTGATGACTTGTTTTGAGGTTCACTCTTTTCTTTATTATTGTTATTTTTTTTTTTGTATGCACCGAAATGATATTTCTCAATTTACTTATATAATTTCATTTAAATATCCTTCTAACAAAAAAAATTAATTTATTTTTCATTTGAAACGCTAACTTTTACTTTTTCATTTTTTTATTTTTCTACATGAAATAATTATAAATATATAAAGTTATGTTACAAATTCAGCTTTTATTTTCTAAGTATTTTTTTCTTTTATTTTAAACTATATACATGTATAATAGATAAATATATTGTATTATACACTAGGTTTTTTCATATGAATTAGTAATCATTCGTCACAACTCCTACCCCGTGACTAAGTTAATTTTTGACGAGTTTAGTATAAATAAATACTAAAATATCAAATTTCATGTATAACGTGAGTTGCATTAATTTATTAATTTTGATTAGTGATTGCGGCATTAAAAGTGATAAAAACACATGTATTGATTTCTTATGCGTCACTATTAGCAACAAAGAAAATTTTTTTTATAGATAGTAGTATGGAATATTAACAAAAGTTATGAAAACATATCGAGAAAAAAATAAAAAAGAAATAAAATTTTTAATTAATATAAAAAGAAAAAGATTAGAAGAAAATGAAGGTGTAACATAATTTTGTATATGGTTATAGAATAAAGTAAAAATGGTGTCTAAAAAAAGAATTTGTAATATAGTTTCTATCTATCTATAACATATAGGAAAAAAAAATAAATTGGATTTCATATTTCACACTAAAAAAAATTGCAAGTAATTTTTATTAAGAGACTATTAGATGACAATAAATAAATAAATTGATAAATATCATTTTTGTAAATACCAAAAAAAAGAAGAAAAAAAAACAACGAACAAAAAAACATATTAAAATTTGTAATCTTTTTATACCATAAGAGGAAATTTTTTGATAACTTCTATACTATTTGAGCTAATTTAAAATGGTTTGAAGGGTATTCTCATTCATAGGACTAACTCGACTACAAAAGTCATAACTTTGGATGAAATCGACAACTACAACTAACGTTTAGACTAAATCAACAATCAGAGCAAACATATCAGGTGTTTTTTGTGACCTTCTTCTGGAGTATAATATCGTACTCTCTGCTTAGAGGAGGGTTGGATGAATATAACCAGCTGAAATCTGTGCTAGATATTCTGGAGGGAAAGATTGCTAGATTGCGATCCGAACTCACACGTTTTCTTAGGATGACAAGGAATATAGAAGATAGCTAGTGCTTCGCAAAAGCAACTGCTCTCTATGAGTAGTTAAAGCCAAAGACGTACCCAACTGTATACATAGCATGTATCCTTTTTGTTGCTCTCATTGTCACAATGTTTCCGTATGCCTCCGATTACAGGGTTTGTTCCGGTATTGTTTCTCTCTCTCTCTTTCTTTTTTTTCTTCTCTATAACTCATATTCCTTATGTGTTTCTGTTTGTGCATGTAAATATCAAGTATATGCTAATGCAAACTATACTCAACATCTCTCCATTTTGTTTGTTTGTGGCGTTTGATTCAAGTTTTTCTTTTTTAAGGTCCACGCAGTACTACTACTAGTACCTGATTGGAGAAAGGTTGGAGTGCTGCTGGAGTGATTCGAAGATGAGTTTTCCCGAAGAAAAAGTTTGCATATGCTCTTAGATTTAGTACTACTGTTGTTAGTGCTAATGCTCTTTGCCGATGGAATGTCTTGAAAGCCCCTTGAATTCAAATGCTAGGATTATTTGCTCTTAATAAAATTTATGTTATGCTTGTGAAGAAATGGTAGGGTATTTTTGATGATGAGAGTTTGAATTTTGATCACAAAACTATGATAATACTCAAGTTGAACTTTATGCATTGATGGTTCTTCTTTGTGATCAAGCTTCCATTTGCGTTGTCACGATAACTCCATCTTTTACAGGCAGTATATAGTTAAAATTGATATTCTAGTTTAACTTGTATTTTTTTTACAGCAGTGATAGAGACAGTGAAAACTCATAGTGAAAATTAATAGTGACTGATGTGTACAAATTAATAAAGATAAAAATGTAAATTTATTAGGAAAAGATATAAGTTCTACGACAAAGTGCCACCAAAATAGGGGGCCAACTAAGTCA